GAGCTTGAAAAGTGTGGTGCCTGCCAGTGTGGCTCCTTTCCCCATATGGAGTCCACTGTTTCCCTCCTCTTTTGCCTCCATCAGTGTGGGCTGGGCACTGATGTGTGGCTGGGGAGACTAGATACCCTGACCAAAGGTCTCCAGGCCCCAATGGAAGCACAGGCTCAGGAAAAACAACGTCCTCCACTTCTTTCCCTCTTTCCTTCCACTCTGCAGCCTCCCACGGCCTGTCCACCATGTGGTGCCTCCCAGCGCAGTCACAGAAGACTACCTGCGGAGCTTCCGGCCCTACCATACAGCTGAAGAGCTTCGCATGTCCTCCCTGCCTCCCATTACTCTGGATCCAGCCACAGCTGCTGCTTACTACCACCCCAGTTACCTGGCTCACCATCCTTTTCCTCACCCAGCCTTCAGGTAAGAGCCAAAGATGACGCAAGCAAAGGGCTTTGCCGGCCCCACTCTTCGCCTCGTGGGCAAGGCAGGATTTGATTGAGCAGTTTGGGCAGTTACCCAGGCGTGTTCTTTGGAGCCAACCGCTAATAGGTCTTAACAGGTCTTGCCCACAATGGAGGGCTCTCTGAGGACTTGAGCACAGCTGTAATAAAGCACAACAGGCCATCACTTAAAGCAGCAGCAGGAGTCCAGATGCTGGGCCACTAATTTGTTCTTTGAATGGGGTCCTGTTGAGCGGTTTCTGCCTCCGCCCAGCTTCTGTTATGCCCTGGTCAGCAAGACACGCTGTGCCCATGGAGAACTGAGATCAAGCAATGGGCTTGGAACACAAATGCCTTTTGAGAGAGCGGGCGGGGAACCTGAGAAGCTGTCTCCAGCTTTTCTTCGGTGGCTTGCACGTTTGCCATGTTTTTTGAGGCTGCAGATTCAAAAGTGCAGCAGTTGTGTGGGAATGTGTATGGATACAGTCTGCGTATGGTCCTTACCCGCTCCTGGAGAGGCCACTCTTCAGATGCCTCCATCTCTTGAGGTTAGGGGGTTGATGGCTAAAGACTTGGTCTGCTATGTGGGGATGCCCCAGCTCTAAGATGCCTTTGCAAGACCCTTGTGCTTGATAGCCTCATTTTATAAGTTTGGGGCAAAACGTGAAACTGGTTTTATTTTACTAGAGTCACCAAATGCATCTCTCTCGTAAACGCAAAGAAAGCTACGAGACTTTTTAGGCTAACCGCACCTCTCTTTTCAGGATGGATGAGTCGTACTGCCTCTCAGCTCTACGCTCACCTTTCTATCCAATTCCAACTCCTGGTTCACTCCCACCGCTTCATCCATCAGCCATGCACCTCCACCTGTCTGGAGTGAGGTACCCCACCGAGTTGTCTCATTCGTCTCTCTCTGCCCTTCAGTCCGAACGCATATCCAGCCTGACTGCAGAGAGGTATGGAACCATTCCGTGGCTGGTAGAAGATCTCAGCTCCTTTGGGGACAAAATGAAGGGTCCACCCATTAGCCCTTCCTCCTATGCCTTTCTCTTGTTTTTTGCAGGCTGCAGATGGATGAGGAGCTGCGGCAGCGGGAGCGAGAGAAGGAGCGAGAACGGGAAGCTGATCGCGAGCGCGAGAGGGAACGGGAGCGAGAACGGGAGCGGGAGAAGGAGCTGGAACGGGAGCGGGAAAAAGAGAGGGAACGGGAGCGGGAGCTGGAGAGGCAGAGAGAAAGAGCCCGGGAGAAAGAGCAGAGCATTGTCAAAGCCATGGAAGGCCCCTTCTTACCAGTGTCAGAGTTGCACGGACTGAGGAGTCACCCACCAGAAGAGCGTGTCAAACCATCTGAGCAGCTAACGCCAAACCGAGCAGGTGACTCTGAAATAGCCACTGAAGTAGCTTTTGTTTGGGAATTGGCTGGGGATGGGTAGGGGAAGCAGCCCATTTGCCATGGGCATTACATAGCCAGCAAACACCTAAGACTCAGCCCCTGGGCATGGGGCTTGAAGCAAACATCACCTGATTTGATTATCTGTGGGCTTTGGATCTCACTGAGGTGCTGTTTCTGGTGGTTTTGTGGTGACCGCTGTAAGAGCACTCATGGGATACACAGTCTGCAGTAAGTTTTCCCGCAGGATCTATCTAATGTCCTGTTGTTTTCATTGCATACACTACTTTATTAATTGTTGCACAGCTCTTGTAGCTTTGTTTGTGCTGAACGGGTTTGCCATTCAGGTGGGAATCTGATCTGCGCTGCAGAATTTGACTATAAGAGAATGGAGGCAGGGTTTAAGTCCTTCCTCACCCCTAAGGTCTGTGCAGAAACCTGTAATTTGTTACTGTTTTCTGGTAAAGCATTTCAGACGAGCTGACGGGTTTCCTGTAGTTATTCTGTCTTGTGCAGAACTCTGTCCGTCATCCATGGCTGTATATGTGAGCTATTGGCCAGCGAATGACTATGGCCTTCTCTCCTCCACTGCTGCAGAACATTGCATTAGGTGAACTGTATCAGCATAAATGTATTCAGGTTACCTGAGCCAAAAATTGGCACAAAGAATGTAGCTTTTTTGTCTGCATAGCCTTGTTCAATACTGGATGAACATCTTCAGGGGTCCTAGGCAAATTCTTTTGGCCAAGGGAGACCCTTCCTATAGCATATGGGAGACCCTTCCTATAGCATATATAGATCAACCTCCATTAACATAGGCCTGGGCCATGTCTACAACTGTGAATTCACCTGGATCTGCTGGATGTAGCTCACATGTCCTGCCTCTTTCTGTACTGTGGGCCCTGGCATGATGCAGTGGCCTGTTGGGACACTGAGGTGCTGCTGACCTGTCACACTGTTCTTCCCTGACTAAGATCATTTGTCCCACCACAGTTGTGGACCACCATAGGCACAAATGCTGCATACCCCCAAGTATCCTGCTGCCACCTCAGACAGCATTCCAAGGCTAAGGGGACCCTATTTGCATGCTGCCTTTTTCCCCCTTACAGAGAAGCCCAAGGACTCTTCTGCTATCCAGACCCCCAAGCCAGTCCAGCATCCTTTGCACTCGTCGTCTGCCTCGCACCATCCCGTGCCCAGTCTCATTTCCAACCACGGCATCTTCCCCCTGCCTGGCAGCAGCACAGCCACAGCGCTCCTCATCCAGCGCACCAATGAGGAAGAGAAGTGGCTGGCGCGGCAGCGGCGGCTACGGCAGGAGAAAGAAGACCGCCAGTCCCAAGTGTCGGAGTTCCGGCAGCAAGTTCTGGAGCAGCATTTGGATATTGGGCGCCCGCCCGGCCAGATGGAGGCCGAGCACCGGCCAGAGAACCCCAGGTAAGGCTTTGCTTCTTGAGTGGCCTCTCTGCTAGTGGAGGCCTCTTGGATCCTACTGGCTGGCTACTCTCTGTTCGCATCTGGCTTGTGGGGCAGAGGAGATCTGAAAGCACCCAAATCTTTCACAGGAGCGGCAGCCCACCTGGGAGGGGTTGGTGTCTCAGAAGGGTAAGCAAAGATCCAGAGCCTTCATCTGGCTCCACTATGTTTGGATTTCAACAGGCAGGAGCTAATGCCATCTGACAGCTGCTTGGAAGCCTTTGCAGAATGAGCCTGGTGGCCTCCATCCAACCGACTGTGACCAGGTGTCACTAAGGCAGTTCTCACTAATTGCTGCCATCTCTGGCAGATGGAGGGAGCAAGGAGCTGAGTCTTGGAGGCCTCTAGATCTGAATGGGCTGCAGCGTCACTGGCACTGCTGCTTCTTGGCCCTCCCAATGTACGACCCAGGAGGGGGGTGGGAGAGTCCAAGGTTGGCTTTGAGAGCCTCATTTGCCTGCTTGGCCAAGAGCAAAATGATTGCTCTTGAACAAGGCAGGAGTCCCTCCGGCCACACGGCTGGTGCATGTTTTTGACTGTGGACCAGGAGCCCACACTCCAGCCAAGGCAACAACTTGCTTCCTGCCAGATCAGCTTCAGAGTCCCTCCGTCTCAGTCCTGGGCATGGTGTGATGAGTAGCAAATTCTGAGTGGGAATTGGGGAACAAAAGCACAGCTGTGTGAAGAGAGAAAGTGTCTCTGTCGCTACTGCTGCCGGCTCCCTCTTGCCTCTGGGTGGATTGATATCTCCCTTCTCGCTCTATTGCCAAGCGCTTACTTAAGCATCACTGACTTGACTCATCCCTTTGGCTCTGCTGCTGGATCCCATTGTTGGTTTCGGGTATCAAGGGGATTAGAGGAGCTAATCAGGTATAAGAAGGAGTGGATTGCTGGTCTGCACTTCAGTGTCAAATTCTCATTTCATCATCCTCTTCTGCAATGGTTCAGCAGAGCTACACACAGAGCAAGGTCACCTCTAATGCGTACAGTGAGAAGGGCCTTGGGCTGTTTGCTTCAAAAGCCACAATCCAGGGGCTGCTAATCCGCTGCGCCTGGATAATGGCAATGGGTGCCATGGAAGCTACAGCCATAGGCAAGTTGTTGTTACAGGGCCATTGTTGATCAACAGAAAGAGACGTTGTCTCATTCTTTCTGGTTAACTAGAGAGTGTCTGCACCACTCCCAATTTGATATTTTTAAGGATGTGTTTTTAGGACGAGTTTTTAAGAGTAAGAATCTATTGGCTTTTGTTTTTTATAAATTGTTTTTCTTTAAAAAAGCTTGTTGCTCTAGTGAATTATATTGTGCTTGTATATTATGTGCCACTTTGAGTGCTACGTTGACAGCAGGAATGCCATATGGGAGGGGATTTTATCCAATGCTAGTCCTACTCAAGGTAGACTCATTGACATTAATGGCAAGACTAATTTAGACCCATTAATTTCAGTGGGTCTATTCTGAGTAAAACTTAGTTTGATACTACCCTGTGTGTGCATACAGAAAAACACATTTATTTAAAAGCACTTACATAGCAATTCCTATTTCAAAAATATCCAAGCAGTGTATAATCTAACAAAACACTGAAATGTTAAAACAAAAGCACAAACTAAAACCAGTAAAATAGCAATATAAAAAGACATAAAAGCATACAAAAGCAAAACAGAAATTCAGAAAATTCAAACACTTAAAACAATATTTTGGGTCAGATAAAGCCTGGGCAAAAAGGTAAGTCTTCAGGAGACATCTGCAGCAACAGACTGCTGCTGCTTCACATATGGCAAAGGAAAGAGTATCATCTATGCACACACACAAACACACGCATACACACACTGCCAGGAGCTTAGTTGTGGATAGTAACACCAGCATCCTTCTCCAGATTCTCCAACCTTAAATTGCGTCCTTTGCAAACACCGATGCCCAAGACTTCTTTGGCTCCTCAGCAGTCAGATTACAGATTGAGGCATCACTCTGAACTTGATGCTCCGCTGCACGGGGCCCTGGTGCTCTGGAGTGGAAAACTGTTAAATGCACAGCTTCAGCACATGCAATATTTATCCTTCTAACAGTTTTATCCCTTTTACTAGTTATTTAAGAAGGATTTCATGGTGTCATTCCCTTTCTGCCACTAGAGCGTAAGGCTTTTTTGTGGCATCTTTGCACATTCTGAACTTCAGAGCTTGTGTGAATGTGTAAGTAACTAAGAACAGAGTTATTGGTCTGGGTAGTGACAGGAGGACACACTTACTGCCCCTGTCATCATCATCATCATCATCAGTTTATTTGCATTTCTGTTTTCCATAGTAAACTATGCTCAAAGCAATGTGATCCCAATAAAACAATGCATAAAATACACGCAGGTCCTAGTTTACGAACACAATGCATTCCTTGGAAATTATTTGTTAGGCGAGTGTTTGCGTAACCTGTCAACAATTTCCGTTCACATAACAAGTTGATTCTTTCCAATGATTCCTATGGGGGAAATTCTAATGCGTCCTCAATCACAGAATTTGTCATGCACACCTGTATAGTGAGGCTTGGGTACTAATTCCTTGTGTTCGGAAATGAACATAGCGAGTGTTTGTAAAGTGGGACTTGTGTGTAGTGTTTCAAGATAATTCACTAGCTATTTATAGGATATATTAGCAAAAGTTAAAAAGTAATAGAAACAACATTTCAGTAGGCTGGAATAAACCTTATTAATAAATTCAATCTTACAGCAATATTAAGTGATAATAATGATTCAAACTAATATTTCATATTAAAGCATAACAATAGGAAAGTAAAATCTCAAAGCAGCAAAACTAGTATATCTTTTCCAGAGTCAATGTTCTTCCCAGCAAGAGCCCTCGAACAAGATCCCTGCCCTCCAGGCTAGGCAAGGCCACCATAGAGAAGCTGGGAGCTGGGTCTTGACAGAATTTGTATACAGATCACCCCATCTTCAGCAACTGGGTAGGGAAGGGGAAGAAGTTGCAAGGAGGTTTGTGCACTGAGCTGGGGCTGGATTAGATGGACTGCAGGGTGACTTCCAGCTCTCAATCCTTTTATCCTTCGAGTAGCATGATAGCTGTATCAAACCTGAATGTTCAGAAGTTAGCAGCAGTTGCCAGGGAACAACCACAAGAGAGGGTTGTTGCCACTGTGTCCAGCTTGTGGGCTTCCCAGAGGCATCTGGTTGGTCACTGTGGGAAACAGGATGTTGGACCAGATAGACTTTTGATCTAATCCAACACGTCTGTCCTTGTGTTAGCAGGTGACAGCGAAAAGGGCCCGGGGCCATTATGCTTAATGATCACTGGGTATCTGAGCATTTCAGAGTCAAGGTTCACTTTCCAATGTTTCAACCACACTCCCCAGTGCAATTGCAATCGTAACGGATGCTTGCTAGCTGTGGGGATGGCAATGAATTGTTTATCTTTTCCAGCAACAGAATGTTGGGTTTAGATGCTGGGATAAATATAATCACAACAAAATCAGTAGATTATGCTAAAAAACACACATTTTTTGCCATTATGTCACCCACATTGTCTCACTGTTTGTAGCAGACGTCCTAAAGTTTGTTACCTCCAACTTTTGAGTCTCAAGTACACGGCAGCTGAGTTTTTGGATACCCAGCTGAGCTGTTCAGGAAAAAAATGGCTCAGTTAACCAAAAAGGTTTTAGGATGCATCAGACCAACCAAATGTCATTGGCTGAGAAACGTCTCTCCACAAATCAAACCCAGAGGTAAAGTAAGGGTACGCATGTATGAAGTGAGATGAGCGCTGCACCCCATAGTCCCCATTGACTGGGCTTAACTGTCCAGGGGTCATTTACCTTTACCTTTTACCTGCATGTGACAGGAGGCACTGATTTTAACTTCTATTTTTTTTTTTTTTTTTTTTTTTAAATAAATTTTTATTCATTTTCCAAACACAAGATAAGAAAACAAACAATACACAATACACCGACATACAAACATATAAACATGTATAATTTCATAACCATTTTTCATAAGCCTTACTTTCCGGACTTACCCATACCTCACATATTCTGCATCCTTGTTTTATATTTCTTCAGCAACTCCTCAATCAACTAATTATTCAATTCAATTTCTTTTAAGTTCTTCTAATAGTATTAATTACAGCTGCAGTTCTCTATTTCCCAACCCCTTGACATTTTAACATTCCTGAATTTTGCAACAAGTTCTAAGATAAACTTTAAATTTCTTCCAATCTTCTTCCACTGTCTCTTTCCCCTGGTCACGGATTCTGCCAGTCAATTCCGCCAGTCCCATATAGTCGATCACCTTCGTCTGCCATTCTTCCAGTGTGGGTAGTTGTTGTGTCTTCCAATACTTTGCTAGAAGAATCCTTGCTGCTGTAGTCGCATACATAAAAAACGTCCTGTCCTTCCTTCTCACCAATTGGCCGACAATGCCCAGGAGAAAAGCCTCGGGTTTTTTTTAGGGAAGGTCCATTTAAGAACCTTCTTAATTTCATTATAGATCATTTCCCAAAAAGCTTTTATCCTCGGGCAGGTCCACCAAAGGTGATAAAAAGTACCTTCAGTCTCATTACATTTCCAACATTTGTTATTGGGCAGATGATAAATTTTTGCGAGCTTGACTGGGGTCATGTACCACCTATACATCATTTTCATAATGTTTTCTCTTAAGGCATTACATGCCGTAAATTTAATACCGGTGGTCCACAACTGTTCCCAGTCAGCAAACATAATGTTATGACCAATATCTTGTGCCCATTTTATCATAGCTGATTTCACCGTTTCATCCTGTGTGTTCCATTTCAACAGCAGATTATACATTCTCGACAGATTCTTAGTATTGGGTTCTAACAGTTCTGTTTCTAATTTTGACCTCTCCATCTGGAAACCTATTTTCCTGTCCTGTTTAAATGTCTCGTTTATCTGAAGGTAGTGCAACCAATCTCGCACTTTGGACTTTAATTTCTCATAGCTCTGTAATTTAACTTTTTCCCCATCTTGTTCTAGAATTTCACAATATTTTGGCCATTTAGACTCCATATTAAGTTTTTTCACCTCTTTAGCTTCCATTGGTGACAACCACCTGGGAGTTTTACTTTCCAATAGATCTTTATACCGCATCCAAACATTGTATAATGCTTTCCTAACAATATGGTTTTTGAAACCTTTATGCAGTTTAACCTTATCATACCATATATATGCATGCCAACCAAATCTATTATCAAACCCTTCTAGATCCAAAATATCTGTATTCTCAAGAAGTAGCCACTGTTTCAACCAGCAGAAAGCCGCCGATTCATAGTAGAGTCTTAAGTCCGGCAGGGCAAACCCCCCTCTATCTTTAGCATCAGTTAGAATCTTAAATTTTATTCTGGGCTTTTTGCCCTGCCAGACAAATTTAGATATATCTTTCTGCCACTTCTTGAAACAGTCCATCTTGTCCAAAATCTGCAATGTCTGGAATAAAAACAACATTCTAGGCAATACATTCATCTTGATAACAGCAATTCGGCCTAACAAAGAAAGTTTCAACCTTGACCATATTTCTAGATCCTTCTTTACCTCTGTCCAACATTTATCATAATTGTCCTTAAATAAATTCACATTCTTAGATGTTAAGTTTACCCCCAGGTACTTTACTTTTTTCGTTATCACTAGACCTGTTTCATTCTGAAATTTCTCTTTTTCGGCCAATGTTAAATTTTTGTCCAGCACTTTCGTTTTCTGTTTGTTCAGTTTAAATCCTGCTACTTGACCAAATATCTCAATTAGTTCTAATACTCTTTTAGTACTAGTATCTGGCTGTTGCAAGGTCAATACTAGGTCATCTGCAAATGCCCTTAGCTTATAATGTTTGGCTCCGACTTGTACTCCTTTAACCAACTGGTCTCCTCTAATCATATTTAGCAAAACCTCCAGGACTAATATAAAAAGTAAAGGGGATATTGGGCACCCCTGTCGTGTACCTTTTTCTATAGGTATTTCTTCCGTAACCACATTGTTTACAATTAACTTTGCTTTTTGTTTAGAGTATATTGCACCTATACCATTTTCAAACCCTTGACCTACCCCCATCCCTTGGAGATTCTTCTTCATAAAGCTCCAACCAATATTGTCAAAGGCTTTCTCCGCATCCACAAAAATTAAAACAGCCTTCCTATTAATGTCCACTTCTAACAGTTCCAAAATGTCTATAATGTTCCTCACATTGTCCGACATATATCTCCCTGGAAGAAAGCCAGTTTGGTCTTTATGAATCTCCCCTACCAACACTCTCTTCAGTCTTTTTGCCATAATGTCCGCAAAAATTTTGTAATCCACGTTAAGTAATGATATAGGGCGGTAGTTTTTAACCTGGTTCTTTTCAGTCTCAGTTTTCGGTATAAGTGAGATAAAAGCTTCTTTCCACGACTCTGGTGCCTTTTTCCCTCCAAAATTTCGTTACATACTTCCTTCAGTGGTTGTACTAACCATTCCTTCAACCCTTTATAATATCTGGCGGTCAAACCATCTGGTCCTGGAGCTTTTCCCAATTGCATCTTCTGAATGGCACCCTCTATTTCTTGTCCTGTTATTTTCTCATTCAAAATCCTTCTGCTTTGCTCTGAAATTTTTGGTAATCCATGTTTCTTAACAAATTCTTCTATTTCCTGTTCGTTAACTGGCCCTTGTGCATATAATTTCCTGAAATAACCTTGAAAGCAATTACTTATCTCATTTGGTTTGTGGATAATCTTTCCATCCACTTCTAAACTTGTCACAGTGTTCAATTTTTGCCTCTTTTTCAATTGCCATGACAGAAATTTCCCACATTTATCTGCTGATTCAAATGTCTTTTGTCTCATTTGCTTTATTTTCCATTCTATCTCTTGATTCATCAATTCCATATATTGCACCTGATAGTGCTTTATTTCTTTCAGAATCTCATGAGACTTTGGTTTAGACCTCAATTTCTTTTCACCTTCTTTTATTTTTTCCAGAATTTTTCCTTTCCTTTCATTTTGATTTTTCCTTTTTATGGAGTTCTGTTGTATTAGGAAACCTCGCATCACGGCCTTACTTGCGTCCCAAATTATTCTTTTTCCACTTCTGTTCTCAAATTTATCTCAAAATAATCTTTCACTGTTTTTGGGCCTTCTTATAAATCTCTTCATCTCTAAATAGGGTGTCATTCATTCTCCATCTAAAGGATCCAGTTGTTGTTAGTTTCATCTCCATCTTTACAGCATTATGGTCGGAGCAAGTCTTTGAGCAGATTTCTACCTTTTTAATCCTTGGCGCCATACTGCTAGTTACCCAAATTTGGTCAATTCTTGTCCATGTCATTTTTGCTTCAGAGAAAAAGTTCCCTCTCTCTCAAGAGGGTTCCTTGTTCTCCAAATGTCAATCAAGTCCATAGTTTCAGTCATTTCAAAAAAGTCTTTGGTAGTCTCCCTTCCTTGGAAATTACTTGTCTCTGTGCTTTGTCCATATTTGTGGAAACTACGCCATTCATGTCTCCCATCATTACAATTCTGTAGTCTAAGTAGTCCATTAAAGTCTCATGCAACTTCTTAAAGAATTCCGCCTTCCCGTCATTTGGTGCATAGATTCCAACTATCAAAATTTTTTCTCCTTGAACTTGTATTTCAATTGCCAGGTATCTTCCTTGTTCATCTTTAAATATCATCTTTGGAGCCAATTTTTCTTTTGCATAAATCACCACGCCTCTTTTCTTAACTTTATCTGATGAAATAAATTCTTGTCCAAGTCTCTTGTTTACCAATAATTTCCGATGTGTCCTGGTCACATGGGTCTCTTGTAGGCATATTAGATCTAATTGTTCTCTTTTCAAAATATGAAAAACTTGACGTCTTTTTCGGGAAGGTTCAAACCATTACAATTCCAACTAAGAAGTTGCAGAGACATTTTGTTATTAAGTACCTGTTCCTCCGACTGCTCCTAGCTTTTGTTCATCTTCAGATGATGGTATGAGTCCAAATGACAAGTTTGCAATGTCTGTCACTCCTTTTTCTTGTATTGTTGTTTCTACTGTTCCTTTCTGCAAGTCCTCCTGATATCTCTCCAGAAACTGTTCTTTATCTTGAACTGTTCTTATTTTAACCTTCCTTCCTTTGAAAGTAAAAGACAATCCTTGTGGAAACTCCCACCTGAAGGGTATGATATTTTTCTTCAGCAGGTAAACCAAATCTTTATAGAAGGCTCTCACCTCCAAAATATATTTAGGGATATCTTTAAAAATTTGTACTTGACTATTTTCAATCTCCAATGCCTTTTGATAATGCAAATTCAATATCTTATCTCTTTCTCCTTTGGATCTCAATGTGATCAAACAATCCCTTGGCTTCTTACCTTGCCTCCTGCCCAGCCGGAAAGCTGTTGTTATTTCAAGTTCTTCTTCCTGCAGCTCCTCTTGCCAGAATTCCATAAAGTTCTGTGTAAGAAAATCCACAAGGTTGTCTCCCTCACTCTCGGGAACCAATCTCAATTTCAAATTTCTCTCTTTTCTCTGTAGTTCCAACAAAGATAGAGCTGCATCATGTTCATTCACTTTTTTTGTAATCGGCACTAGCTCCTCCCTTGTCTCCTCCGCAGTAATTTTTGCACTTTCAGCAATCTTTCGTGTTTCAGAACTTTCTTGAATTAGTTTATTAATAGATTCTGTATTAGATGTTACACTTGCAGTATTCAAGTCCAATCTTGCTGTCAGTTCTGTCAATTTTTTTGAATTTTCCGTAGATAGCTTTGTCAGTGCTTCTAAAGATTGGTTTATTTTGAGCAGTGCCTGTGTCATTGAATCCATAGATGCTGTTGCCACTTTTTCCTGTGCAGCTGGTGGTATGCCGGGTATTGAACCCCTTTTCTTTTGTGTCTGTTTTGCTTTAGATCTAGTTGTTATCTCTTCTGCTGGGCCACTCATATCCTCAAGGTCGTTCTCACAGGAAAGGCTTGCAAGTGGAAAATCCCACTGTTTCTTTTTCACTGTAACAGTTTCTCTTTATACCCTCTAGAGGGAGCATTTAAATGTATCCAAGTGAAAAGAAAAAAAACAAGGAAGCACTGAGCAATCAACAGAAAGTCCAAGAGTCCACAATAAAAGTTTCTGTCGCACTTTTTCAGTAAATCACAAGTTCAACAAAGTAATTCCATTAAAGTCCCGTAACTTTGTCTCAGACAAGACCCCAACTTTGTATCCAGTCTAAACTGACAGTTCACTTTGCCGGTGCCTTACTCAGGCAGTCCGTCCTGGGGGTTTGGCAATGGAAGATGTTTTTTTCCTCAGTTAATTTCAAGCAGGTTAACAGTGTCCAATTTTCTTCCCCCTCTCCTGCTTACTGGGGGGGAGGTTTAAGTCAAATGTCAGGTTTGACAGCTTAAAGGTAATTTTCTTTCAAATGCAGCTTTGCTCTTTCGTTGCTTTACTTGCCATGCAGATCGGGAGGCAGACTTCCTTAATTTATGCCTTTCCCGTTTTCAGCCAAATTTCAAGATTTAAATTTAAATGTCCCTTTCAGTCCCTCCGTCTTACTCACGGGCTTTAGAGTCGAATTTCTGGTTCAGGAAGGAATCGGCGCTCTCCGCTCATGGCGACGCGGCTTCACTCCACGGGCTGGGTTGCGACTCTCAGCACCGCGCTCACCCCCGATGCCGCTCCGTAGCCTTTAAAAAGGCTCTTTCACAGTACCGGGGGGCGCAGAAGGTGCCCACCGAGTCTCCTTGTTCACAGGCTTCCGCGCCTGTGATTTTAGGGGTCCCCCGCTCGCCGTAGCGGGTCAGACCCGAACTCGCGGAGCAGTCCTCCTCCGGAGCTCGAAGGGAGGACCGCCATTAAGCGCTGGCGCCGACCGGAAGTCTGATTTTAACTTCTATGGTACGCCCCCCCCAAGCCCTACAGGATCTGTCAGTGCTGACAATATTCCCATTAACCAAAAGTTCTGTAACTTTAATCCATGCACTTCTTTGTAGATCTAATATATTTTGGGGGAACCGTATCCTCTCCCTCCTTAATCGAGCACAAATTTACAGATGGAATTCCAAATCCTACTCAGCAATATAGGCAACTGATAACAGTGGCTGGTGCCCACTGGGACTGGCAAGGCAGAGAGACCAGAGCCAGTGACAGGCAGAGTCAACTAACTCTAGTTTTGTTCCTATCCTCTTCCTTCCTGGTGAGTTCTACAAGGAGCATCACTGAAACTAAGGAGGAGGAAGCTGACAGGCAGGCCGGGGCTGGTTGGGGGCAGAGGTTGGTGGAGCACTGCCCTGCTCAGCCTAACGGAACAGCCTCCACTGCTGAGTAAGTGGCCTTGACAAAGTCATTGCCCATTGATGAAGTGTTGGATTCTCAGTGAGGGTGGCAGATCAGTTAGAATAACAAAGAATAATGAGAAATGAGTGCAGATGCGTTGACAAGGTGTTTGTGTGAGTGTGCATTTTTGTGTTTCCTCTTACCTAGTTTCTTTCTGCATCTAGTCCAGAAACCACTAGGTGTCACCCCAGTCCCAGCCTCCCACAGATACAGATGTGTATGCACGTACATATTCCCAGCCAAACTGCCCTCCAGTGATAGCTTTATATGAGAAATCTGATGCTCCAGGTTGGCCCTTCTGCTTTGCAGCTCACTGCACAGGCCTTGTTCAGTTATAGCAGAGGGTGGACTACTGGGCTGTGTAATATCTCAGAATGACATACTGCAGGCAGGCACAAGACAACTCATCCTGTCAGTCTGTCAGTCACTTTATTTACAAACTACTTTCCTGCACACATTATACTCAGCAGTTCATAACAAAGCACTGAGAAAACTACAAACACAAAAATAAATACAAATTAACTGCCATAGGAATTAGCAGTAGATTCAGTGTCCATCACTCACATTAGAGAGGGTTCCATGAAGAACAGCCTGTCATTTTTCTGACCACAGAGCCTTCTGCTACATACCAAGATGACACTTGGGCCACATCCGCCCCATGCATCTAAAGCGCTCTTAGAGCACAGTCACAGCTTCTCCCAAAGAATCCTGGGAACTGTAGTTTGCTAAGGGTGCTGAGAGTTGTTAGGCGACCCCTATTCCTCTCACAGAGCTACTATTGTGAGACTGGTTTAACAATCAATCCCAGGAAGCTCTGGGGATGTAGCTCTGTGAGAGGAAGAGGGAATCTCCTAACAACTTTCATCCCCATCAATGAACTGCAGCTCCCAGGATTCCTTGGGGCAGAGTCATGACTGCTAAAGTGGCAAAGGAATCCTTTAAATGTATGGTGCAGATGTGGCCTTAGTCACAGTGAAAAGCACTTATTTGTAGAACTTACCTTGCATGCTTTGTTAATTAATTGTACCTCTATCCTTTTTGCAGATCGGGACCAAACCGCCCTGAACCAAGTAGTCGAGACCAACCGCAGCATTTTGGAGGCCCCCCTCCACTTATCTCTCCTAAGCCTCAGCACCATCCGGTCCCCACTTCCCTCTGGAACCCTGTCTCCTTGATGGACACTTCTGAGGCACGAAGGATACAGGAAAGCCACCCTCTCCCAAGCCACAGCACCCAGTATGAGTCCAGTCGGCAAGCCATCCCCCTTGTGAAGGTCGAGCGGGTGTACTGTCCAGAGAAACTCGAGGAAGGGGCTAGGAAAAGAGAAGCCCTGGAGAAGTTCCAGCCTCCTCGGGACCCTGGCGGGGCAGAGCATAGTGGCTTTTCCCATGGGCCCTTCTTAGCAGAACTGGAAAAGTCCACACAGACCATATTGAACCAGCAGAGGGCCTCCCTCTCACAGGGTGGGCAGTTGGTTGACATGAGCTTGAACGCCAAGCCAGGCTCACCCTATCGGCATCCATTGCCCAGAAGCCATGACCCCATGTATGTTTACGACGAGTTCTTGCAACAGCACCGGAAGCTGGTCAGCAAGCTGGACCTGGAGGAGAAAAGGCGGAGAGAAGCCCAGGAGAAAGGTCAGTGCACAGACCCTTTGTGGAAGGGCCTACAATACATCCAGCACTCCGGAATGCCTCCCCACCAGGTCTTGTTCCTGGAAAAGGGAAGGCTGCACAGAGTTTTTAAATGACTTCAGTTTTGGAAGTAGAAGTCTCAGTCATCCTCAGGAAAATAGGAAACACAGGAAGCTGCCTTATATTGAGTTGGACCCTTGGTCCATCTAGTCCAGTGTTATATATGTACTAACTGGCAGCAGTTCTGCAGGTTTTCAGGCAGGGACTCGTTTCAGCTTTACCTGGAGCTGGTGCCAGGGATTGAATTGGGGACCTTCTGCATACAAGATAGTTGCTGTACCACTCAGCTAAGGCCCATCTTCTGCAGCTTTCTTACAGAGAGCACTAAATAACGTAACTGCAGAAAAGCAAAGGGAGGTGCTTAGAACTGTCAGGAGGCCACACAGCCCTCGTGGGCTCTCAGGTGAAGGAAGTCTCGGCCAAAGAGTCCCTACAGCAGAGCTGTATGGTTTGGTTAGTACCAAGGAACTTGTGTGAAAAAGAAAAAGGTGTCCCTCCTTCAGATTTGATGTTTTTCCTTGTGCCAGGCTAGGGGCGGGGGGCATGGAGATAAGCTCACAGCCAGTGTGTGCTTTGGTAGTAGGGACCCTGCTAGCCTCCAGGTGCCATCCTTTGTAGCCAGGTGTGGACTTGGTAGGGGCACCTTTTTTAAAAACAACAACACACTTTTATGTTGTTATTTTAAAAAGCAGCACAGCACTGCAAACTTTGGTTGCTCAAGGCTTTTTTAGTAGGCATACAGAAATTCCTAAAAGTGGATTCAGGAACACATTTTCCTCATTGTGCTGACTTTCCAGTTCCCATTTGGAGTTGGAGACATGTCCAAACAGTAGGTTCAGTCACTCTTTGTCTAACACCTTGCTGTAAGCATTGTGTCACTACTGATTGATTATAAAAATGTAATACTTAGTATAATAGTAATATTTAAGTGGTTTTCTGCTAGAGATTAGTAGTATAATCTCTAGTAATCCAATCTAAATCCCACACCTGTCAGAATGCATCAAGAGATCCACTTCCATTTGGATCCTATTGTGTGGGGTCCGGAAAAAGCACCCTGTTCAAATTGTCCTCCTGACTGAGAAACCTGGAAGAGCAAATACTGAATACACCAGATTTTAGGAAGAGATCCACTGAAGCCGGATTAAAGTGTGTTGCTGCCTGAAGGATGAGTAAAAGGCTGTATCTAAGGCTGAGATATTCTACCCCTTGATTTGCATAAAGCTTCTCCAGTAGGCAAGTTGCCTCATTTGTCCCAAATTAAAAGCATGGCTTGAATTTGTAATGTCTGGAAGGAAGAGTGTAATGTTCAGGGAAAACCAGCCTTTTTGGGGTTTTATCAAAGCCCCGGTAGCTTGGATCACATATCAGAAATGGATTGACCCTCTAACGTGGCAGGCTGCTTCCTTTCCCCCCATCCACTTTGCCTGCCTTGGGCACACTGTCCAAGTTGCTTCATAAATCCTGCCTCCAGTTAATAAATGATGAACTGAGACTAATAAAGCAGCTTTAAATATTAATCTGGAATGTAAAACCAGAGTGGGATTAGCAAACAGGAAAAAAGCAAGGCACTTAGTTGGGAAAGGTGAGTTTCGCACACAGGGTCTGCAGTTTCCATTGTGTGATGTTACTGTTTTCTACTTGTAGCTGCTCACATCCCTTTGGGCATAAGTCAGCTTGTTCTCTCTGCCTTCTAGATGCCTCCTTCTTCTTTAGCTGCCCCACTAACCTATGCCAGCTAGCATCATGGTTAGCTGCTGTGCCACTGGGAGCATGTGATGGTGGCATGCCAGAGCATTAACAGTGGCTGCTCCTGCAATACACAGATGCGCTCACTGCAAAGACTGGGAAGCATGAAGGACTGAATCTAGGAATCTGGCATGCAAGCCTGTTCAGTACCGGGAAGAGTCCTGGCCTGATCATTAGCACCCCACCATGTTCATCTGCCTAGCACCTCCTGGTTGCCACATGCACACAAGGCAACCAGGCTTCTCACTGTTTAGCAGGTGCTTCAGAGCACCAGGGCATTCACAGCCAACTGCCTCCTTTTATGGGCACAGCAGCCATACATCCAAGGGACCACAGCACAGTCATTGCATTGCACAAGCAGCTGGCTTCCACCTGCCTACCTTCTGAGCTTTTCATTTCATTTTTTTCTGGTCAAATTTGATCTTGTTTTGTATAACTGCGTTTTTTGCAGGAGGCAGAATACATACAAACCTCAGTAGGATTCTGTGCCTGTTTTCCCCAGACATGTATCTGTACAGGAGGCTGGTATCTTTCCTGAATCAGAGGCCCAGAGAACATACAGTGGTGCCCCGCAAGACGAATGCCTCGCAAGACGGAAAACCCGCTAGACGAAAGGGTTTTCCGTTTTTGAGTTGCTTCGCAGGACGAATTTCCCTATGGGCTTGCTTTGCAAGACGAAAATGTCTTGCAAGTCTTGAGATTTTTTTTTCGCTTTCCCCCCCCTTTATCTAATCTGCTAAGCCTTTAATAGCCTTTAATAGCCTTTTAGCAGCTAATCCGCTAAGCCTTTAAGCCTTTAATAGCCGCTAAACCGCTAATAGCGCTAATCCGTTAAGCCGCTAATAGGGTTGCTTCGCAAGACGAAAAAACCGCTAGACGAAGACTCTCGCGGAACGGATTAATTTCGTCTTGCGAGGCACCACTGTAGTCTGTTGCCCTTGCTGTAACATTATCTGGCTCTGCCTGCGCACTCAGAACAGTGATGACAATTCATTCAGCTGCTCCTGAGAACAACCCACTAGGATGCAAACAGCCCTTATGGTTGGGCCCAGTTTTTACTCTAAAGCATATTCCATTATAGACTAGATTGTGTCTCTTAGCCACAGGAAAACAAAAACAAAACAAGGTTGTGATGATGCTAGGTAAAAGATTTGCAGCTTCCCGCAACCTTCAAGTTGGCCTTCTCTGCTTTATTATGTACAGGTTACTACTATGATCTGGATGACTCTTATGATGAGAGCGATGAAGAGGAAGTGCGAGCCCACCTGCGATGTGTTGCAGAGCAACCCCCATTAAAGTTGGACACCTCCTCTGAGGTAAGCCCCACCTCTTACTTCACATAATACTATGGACAAATTCTGGTCCATAATGATTTGCAAGAGTTGACAAGTCTAGCTGCACCAGGTAAGATCACTTGCTAACCTAAAACCAAGAACTGAACTTTGCTAACATCACACTATTATCTGTCTTTTAGAGCAAATATGCTTGAGTTGAGGGACGCGGGTGGCGCTGTGGGTTAAACCACAGAGCCTAGGACTTGCTGATCAGAAGGACGGCAGTTCGAATCCCCGTGATGGGGTGAGCTCTCATTGCTCGGTCCCTGCTCCTGCCAACCTAGCAGTTTGAAAGCACATCAAAGTGCAAGTAGATAAATAGGTACCGCTCCGGCGGGAAGGTAAACGGCGTTTCCGTGTGCTGCTCTGGTTCACCAGAAGTGGCTTAGTCATGCTGGCCACATGACCCGGAAGCTGTACGCCGGCTCCCTCGGCCAATAAAGCGAGATGAGCGCCGCAACCCCAGAGTCGGCCACGACTGGACCTAATGGTCAGGGGTCCCTTTACCTTTTATGCTTGAGTTGAAAAGTGGGAGTCTGTGATGTTCCAAATATAAATGATTTGTTCAATATCTCAGGGCAAATTCCAATCAGTGCCACAAATCCCAAGTTCTTGCAAGCGACACTTTCCCCCTACCCCCAGCTCTGTGTATTTTTCCAGGCTGAGGACTGAATGCTGATCTCAGCCTGGAAAAGTTCCTAGAGTTGAAGGAGGAAGTAAAAAAGAGTGACTCTCTTCCCACTTCCTCCTTCAACTCTATGGATGCTTCAGTCACTGCCTTCTGAGTCTCAAGAGGGAAGAGCACAGAGTAAAGAGCCAGCAGGAGTACGGAGGCTCAAATGCAGTTTATCACTTTTTTTTATTAAAGAGGTAGCAACAGTAGTACATATTAGCTACTGCACACCCTTCCTACTCACCTTCCCTATAAATGGGCACTGGTATACTGTATTATCTCTTTTTAAAAATTCAAAGCACATTTTCACTTGCATGTTTTGGCAGAAAGAGGAATTTAAAAACAACAACAAATGGTTATCTAGTGCTCTGTTTGTGTGAATGGGTGGGTGTTTTGTATGTGAGGCGGGAGAGAGAGAAGTGGCGGTAATGGATGTCTCAACTACCCTCACCCACTCTTATCACTCCACAAGGAATGCAGTTCAAAAAGTTTACCCACCCATAAGTGAAGCACAAGCACATTCTACCTATTTTTCCTTTTTCTTCTTCTTTTTTTGGCTGTCTGAATATTGTCAAGTATTTGGATAGGCCATTGATAACTTACCTCCTTTTCTGTGCAGTTGGCATACTGTAAGGAATTAGGCAGCTAGGTGTTTCTCTTGAAAAGAGAATCCTTTACTGAGCAATGCAGACTTCCTGTGGTTTCTTTAAACAAAATGATAGCACATACTTCACCTTAGAACTAATATCATGGAGACACTGGTTGATGTATACCTTTAAGCAAAAGAAACCATCTGAATGAGCATCCCTTTGTTACGCTCTTCCAGAAACTGGAGTTCCTACAGCTTTTTGGACTGACCACCCAACAACAGAAGGAGGAGCTGCTGACTCAAAAGCGGAGGAAACGGCGGAGAATGTTGCGAGAGAGGAGCCCCTCGCCACCTAGCGTCCAGAATAAACGCCAGACACCCTCTCCTCGTTTTGTGCTCTCAACACGTTACAGCCCTGATGAAATGAACAACAGCCCAAACTTTGAGGAGAAGAAAAGATTCCTTACCACCTTCAATTTAACCCACATCACTGCTGAGAAACGGAAAGGTGAGTATTGGTTTGTGGGAAGATGGGTAGAAGATCTTCCAGGATGTGAGGGAAGTTTAAGTGGGTCTGGTAAGTTCAAAGGCCATACAGAGGAGCATCTCACTTCTGTACCTTTTGGAATCTGTTGAACAAACTGCAGTCTGCAAGCCAGTGTGTCCAAGGAATGCAGAAAAAATCATGCACTTTTGTTTAAACTTGTATATGAGGGTCAAGCGTCATGTGAAATGGCCTCTTGGAAATTGGACTGTAGGCCACTTGACTTCTCAAAGCCTCATCTTCCAGAAGCAACCCACATTACAACTAAAGGAAAACTGTGGATCTGGCCTTTGTCTAGTGCCAAAACCTGCTGCTGCCCTGCAGTTGTTACACGGCATTGTCTTAAGAAAGAGAGAACAGCCTGGTAGTATTGGTGTAGCATTGTGATGAACAGCATGGGCTAGGGACTACCAAGAAGTATCTTCAGATCTCAGCTTAACCTTAAACTCAATATTCTGGTGCTTAACAGCATATGGGCAGCTGGTACAAGATTTTGAGTTCAAGGCCCTTAACAAATTAGGTCCAGGCTATCTTAAGGACTGCCTGATCCCTTATATCCCTACCCAATCACTGAACTCTTGTGGGGTGTATATGTTAGTGTTCCCCCATGGCTCAGATGCATGGCTTGTAACTATTAGAAGCCATGCATTCACTTTTGTGGATCCAAGCCTGTGGAAAGCCCTTCTAACTGAAATTAGACAGGCATCTTCCTAGCTGAAATGTCAGGCACATGACTTAGGCTTTCTTGGTCCAGCAGGCATTTTAAGGTAGTGTTTAGTTTTTGCAATGAATTTCTATTGTTTTATTTTCCGCAAAGGTTATTTTTATGTGCACCCCATAGAAATGCTAATGATTAAGCGGTTTATGTGTCTTAAATTAGAAAAAAATACAATAAAATACAGGTCTTTATAGCACAGTTGTGAGGATTAGTGGTGATATGTGTGTGATGCTTTGGTAACTCTTAAAAAGTGCAGTATATATTCTGAGAAAGTATGTGGTGTTTGATTTTCTTATTAAGAGCCAAGAGCAAAAAACGAACAGGCTTTACTAACCAGGAGTGGAGAGAGCTGCTCTCTGGGACTGTGCATCAGTTCTGCCTCTTTCATTTTGCCTCTGAGCAAAAGCTAGTTTTGCTCACTGCTTCTCATTTTTCAGATACAGAGAAGCTGGTGGAGATGTTCCATGCAATGAAACAGAAAAGTGCCTCCACGGCAGTATCAGTGAAAACCTCCCCACGGGACAGTCCTAGTAGCGTCCAACCTGGTAAGTGGCTATAAATGGCAACTGTGTGACAGCAAGGGATTGATGCCTTCTTGGCTGGGGCTTCTTGAGGCTGAAAGATGTCCCAGTGGACTTGATTATCCTTGTCTGTGACTTTCTGCTAGGGTAAACCAGGCAGATTAAGTCCAGGGAGACGTTTTGAGTGCCTGATTACAGGAGTGTTGTTTGTCTGCCAAAACAGAACATGTGGTGTGCTTCCAAGAACTGGATCTGCAACACAAACCAGTACACATTTACTCAAAAGTAAGCCCCACTGATTTCAATGAGGCGTACTTCCAAGTATGTATAAAATGAGTTGCAGCTGCCGCCAGACTTTACAGAAACCTCAAAGGGAGGGGTGGGAGTGCCCCTTGTGTCTCATTATCTCCAACTGCTTCTTAAATAACCCAACAATAGGCACATGCCAGAAGCTGCAAGCTCAGGAGGGCTGGGTTGCATGTAACTTCCTACACTGCTCACACAGTTTTGGTGGGAGGTATTTGCATCTTTTTATTTTATTTTATTTTATGTAAAAGCATTTTAAAACCATTTAATATTTCAAAAATCTCTAAGGAGTGTAAGCTATTTACAGTGTAAAAATATCCATTAAAACAAAAATACAACTTAAAACTAATAAGAAAGTATAAAATGCCCATTTTGTCACTGCCCTATTATTTTGTGTAGGGTGCATTCTACGTGAATGTACAGAGCTCTACAAGGGCAGGCAGTCTTTCTGGTAACCTGGTTGTTCAGGGCTTTACAGAGGTTGTGTGCCACCCCCACCCCACCCCATCTCTGCCAAGCAGTAGGAAGATTCCAGGGAGTTGCAGGCACTCGCCTAGCGTTGTGTTTCCATTGGGAAATCAAGGCACAAGAAGACTAGTGTCTTTAAGAAATGTTTTATTTTGCACATATTTACACCTAAAGCCTTCAGTGGAGGGGTTCTCTTACTGAGAGAAGTGAAGTTACAGGGAAATGGGCACAGGGCAGTGGCACCCTCCCTGTGAAATGCTCTCCCATCAGATATAAAGGAGATAAATAACCATACAACGTATAAAAGACATCTGAAGGCAGCCCTGTACTGGGAGGTTTTTAATGTTTGGTGTTTTATTATGTTTTTATGTGTGCTGGAAGCCGCTGAGGGTGGCTGGGGAATAAACAAAACTTATTAATAATTTATTACTATACCCAAAGAACATCCCCCATGGCTCCTCTGATAGCTACAGCAAGCTTGGGTCCAAAGCAGCAGCCAGTCATAGCACCCAGTCTGTTGATGCAACCTCCTCCAGCCAGTGCTTCATGGAGTTCTTCCCAACTTCCTTCTTCTTGTTGCCAGCACACCTTGCAAAACCAATGAAACAAAAAAAAAACCCCTCTCCTTCCATCTGCTCACCCACCCACCCTTCCCCAGACCTGTTTTTTTTTTTTAACAGGACATTTTTCCTGTGTGATGTCACACCTCCTGTAACCTCCCCCTCCCAACACTGTTATTTCTTTTGCTAACACACAGCTGCAGGTGGAGGGGCAAGGACAGCACCTGCATGGTCAATTGTTCTTTAATTGCCTGGCACTTAATTCTCCTTCTAATCGCATTCAGCCTGTAATTTAAATCTAATGTCTGGCATCTTCCCTTCATACTCCAAAAAATCAGCTAAATTCTACCCCTTTATTCATTTCCAGCATTCACTAACTTTAGCAGTTCTGAATGCCCTTGCACCCCCAAACTCTGTTACCCCAGATCTGTAACGTGTCAACCGCGCATTAGCACGCTTCCTCAAATGAGGCAGCTTATTTGTGCACACAGATTTGCTTGCCTTGAGCAAAGTTGTTGTTTCCTCCCATGTTCAAAGAGAGTCTTATAGCTACCTCAAGGTAAATTTTGCAGTATTCTTGCAGCAGAGCAACCAAGGGATAACATGTCAGCTGAGTACAAGTCCCAATTTGCACTTGACAATATGTCATCAAAGGCATTGTAAGCGTCTATTATTTTAGGAAAGAAACAAATACTCACCCAAGTTATGCATCCCAACTGAAGGAGTGTTTCTGTTCTATTTCTTTATGCCAGAGAATTAACAGTAACTCCACAGAGTGCAAAATGGTAATTTGTTTTTCAGAACCCTTTTGTTCAGTCACGGAACTCTTGACAAAGGGAATTTATATCGAAGCAGTACTGTGGCTGCCCCGAGTGACTTTGTTTGTTTTTCTTTCTTTCCCAAAGAGCCACAAGTACAGCAAACTGCTGTGGATTCAGAGAAACCAGTCAGCATTGCTGCTGCTTCGCTGCCAGACTCTCAGAAGACAGCTGAGCCCAGCAGAATGGAACAGCTGCGACCGCATGAGTTTCCAAGGTCCAAGGAGCCGGCTCCTATCTCTGCAGAGAAGCCTAAGTTGAGCGATGGGCACATGGCCAAGAAAAGCCTCAGCATCCTTAACTATGTCCGAGGTTCTTTGCCGAAGGACATCCCTGTGCCGTTATCACACAGTATGAATGGGAAGAACAAGCCATGGGAGCCCTTTATAGCCGAGGAGTTTGCACATCAGTTCCACGAGTCTGTGCTGCAGTCCACACAGAAAGCGTTGCAGAAACACAAAGGTAATGACAACTTGTAGGAGGCAAGTAGTGCCAACATCTTGCCAGAGATATATGTGATTGAGTGATAAGGGAAATGCACAGGACTTTTGGCTTATGAGGGTCAGTTTTTGAGCCCAGTTTGGGATTGGTTTCCTTGCTGCTTGCATAATTCAAGTTTTGGATATGCAGATTTTACATGGATTCATTTTAGATAGGCCAAGACTCTACACAATCCAGTTTCAATGTTTAGTAAAGCCATTGCGGGGACAGTTGCTTGAAGTACGTTCAATGCGTAGTGCATTCCAAATAGGAAAAAAAATGGTGATCATTATGGGGAATAGAATCAGTGGAGTGCCTGGTATAGATTTCATTTTTGTTTTTTAAATGATGTTTATTGAGAATTTTAAAGTTACAAAGAAAAAAGAAAGAAAAGACAAGAGAAGGAGAAAAAGAAAGAAGTAGATAAACATAACAATTAAACAATACAGAGCAATAAAAACCAAAGTGAAAAAAAACAAAAAACACACAATACATCTAAATAAAAAAATAATAATAAACAAACAATTAAAAAATAAGTCTAATATTCCCAAATCCTTAACTTTCATTAACTTATTTCAACGACCTCCTCACACCTCCCTTTTTTGTATTCTAGTTGTTAATTATCTCAGCAAATCCTTTCCATCTTTCACAATATTCTGTCATTTAAATTACCTTAGTCTATTTTAACCTTATCTTGCCTAAGAAACCCTAAAACTTAAAACTTATATATACCAAAAAATTTTAACCATAACATATTCTTTCATAATTCTTTTTGACATTTCTGCTGAAGCCAAATAATTTCATTCCAACATTTTTCTAATACTCATTAATTTTACAATACTTTTCTAAATAAATTTTGAAACTTTCTTCCAATCTTCATCCATCGTCTCTTCTTCCTGGTCTCGGGTTTTGTCAGTCCTTTCTCGTCTATCTAATCCATCAACCTGGTGCTCTTATGTCCGAGGCTCTTAAATCTTTTCCATGTCCCTTCTGCAGGTCTTCTTCTTGTTTATACCTGCCCTTTACTTTATCTTTTGTTGATCTTTTTCTTATTTTCTTTCCTTTCTCATTGGGGGGTAGGTCTCGGGAGGACTCCAATCCAAAAGTATCTCCATCTCTCCTCAGCAGATCAGCCCATTCCCCACAGTCCCATTCCCCACAGTCAACACTGTAATCCAGAAAGTAGTTAAAAGCATGTTTCAAAGTCTTTCCAAAATTAAGAGCCCACACAACTCCAGACCCCCCCTGGTCCATTCCAGATTCGAACTTCAAGAACAACGGCTTATACTCCTGCAAGGCCTCGGGTCTCTTCATTTGTGTTATTTGAGGTTCAACAACAACCTCCTCCATTTTCTTCTGCCCTTGCGCTTGCCCTATCAAAACAGATTCCTGGGCTGGTTCCTGAATGGTTTCTATATGGGTATTCGCCGTTTGTCCAAAGTTTTTAACTGCAACAGTCATCAAATCCATCTTCTCATGCATCTGCTCCAGCAAAGCACTTGTCTTGCAAAAAGCAAGCACAAAGACTTCTTGTAAACACATTTCCCCCCCCCCCAGGGTTAGAGTCTGGTCTCACGATCCTAATCATACAGCTGTGAGGTCCCCAGATCAGCTCCGGCAACAAATTAACAAGCTCCCTCTAGAGGAGACAATTTCTATTTGTATCCATCTTTTAAAAGCAGGACCAACAAGGAAAAATTACTTTCACTTTTCAAATACTTTGTTTCTTTTGATTGCAAGAAGCAACATTGGAATCAATATATTTCTCTTTTTCTTTTTTTTTAACCATCTGTCAAAAGACATTCCGTTCACAGTCGATGAACTTTCCCCACAAATTTCTGTCTCTTGACACCCCGTTCCCAGGTTTGAGACAGTGGAAAATTTATCTTTCTTTACTCTCTCTCCTGCAGGCTTAAACAGTCAAAAATCCCCCTCTTTTCTCCTGCTTCCAAGAGGGGTTTTGGTGGTGATGAATGAAGGAAATTTAGAACTTTATATATGACTTTCCAGACTTTAGCTTACAAAGTTTTTGCTTCAATCTATTTACAAAAAACGGGAGGCGGACTTCCTGTTTAGAACCTTCCCGTTTCGGTGCCAAATTAAGATATTTCTTTTTTTTTTTAAGATATTTATTAAGATTTTCAAAATGTTACAAAACAAAAACAAAAAAAGAAAAAAGTACAAAAATTAAAATGGCTAAAAACAACTCAATCTTTCCATTACTTATTTTTCATTAGCTTATTTCCCGGACCTCCTCACGCCTCCCTTTTTTGTATTCCAGTTCAGTTTGTTGGTTCAGCAAATCCTTACCCTCTTTGTTTATCCTAGTCTTTAATCTTAAAATATTGTAACGTTAAATTTTTACCTATTAATAATCCATTTTTCATATTCCCTTATAGTATTACAGCTGAAAACCACTTAATTTCTATCCAACATCATTCTAACATTCATTAATTTTACAAAATTTCTGTAGATAGTCCTTAAATTTCTTCCAATCTTCTTCCATATTTCTTAATACTTAATCTAATTTTCCGTCCTACTCACGGGTACTTGTTTAGAGTCCAATTGTCCACAGGAAGGTCAGCGCTCTCCGGCAACGGCTGTGCGGCTTCACTCCGTAAAAGTAGCGGTTGATTCAAAACACCGCGCCACTCACCCCACGTCGCTTCGGACCCCCGAAAAAGGGTTTCCCTGCGAGTAGGGGAGGCGCTCCTGGTGTCAGCCGAATCCCACGTTCCCAGGCTTCCTCCGCCTGGGATTTTTAAAGGGTCTCCACCTTCACCGCGGCGGCAAGACCCAATTTTCACGGAGCGGGTTCCTCTCTGTCAGAGGAACTCCGCCATTGCCGATGGCGCTGTCCCGGAAGAGCCTTGGTATAGATTTCAACCCAATTCATACTTGGAACAAATGTTGTATGCCCACATAAAACTGTTTACAGACATTTAATATTTTCGGTATTATCATTTGCTTCTCTTGCTAGAATAGCCTGAATGTTTTTCAGTAGACAGTAGTAAATATGATAACTTCATGAAATGCCCTGGAAATACAGCTCACATAGTGAAAAGCTCATTAATTTCAGTGGACAGAAGTGCAGAATATAAAGTTGTTACAGTGTGTTGGCAGCAGCTGTTAGTCAAAAGCGAAATAAAAAAAATTAAGGCAGCCAATAGGAGACACCAATTCAGCAGCTGAAGGTATGGGCCATAAATGTTTTCACTGACTAGGTCTGAAAGATAGTAAAATCCCCTGAAAACATCTCTTGTACTGAATACAGAGCATTAATCTTGGTGACATACCTTTCCTCTGAGATAACATCTTGAGTAGAAATTGTTAAAACTGTTAATGTCCCTTTCAGCAGTCCTATTTTGAAAGAGGTGGTGGGATATTTCTTGGGCACTTGATTTAAGCTTGGCCATCTGAACTCTTACATTCTTCTCTACGTCTGACTGCTCTGTGACCTTGACAAGTCTTTTGGTCCTTCCCCCTCCCCAGAATTCCTCAATGGTTTCCCTTTTTATTTCCTTTACACTTCCCCTGAGTGTGTGTGGACTCCATCATTTGGGTCTTGCTTTTAATAGTTCCTTGTGGGTGATACTTGTAATTGTAGTTGGAACTTATTCTGCACAAATATTGGAGCAAGTTGCAAGGATGGGTTAATGTGATATGGAAGAGCTTGATGCAAAATTACTTCTTGCAGAAAATTTGCTTTCCCTAGCAGTATATGTGTCTAGGCTTCTTCATTTGCTTTAGCTTAACTTATCTTCCACTGTGGGTGCAGGTGCTTACAACCACCTGGATCTCATCCCAGAGCAATAGTGCATTTTTTCCAGACTATGGGTAATCCACACCCTTGATATGTAAGTGGGGATGTGGGCAATATACTTCAACCATCTTACCTTGTATTGACGTAAACATTTTGAAGTTTAAGCGCAGCTGGTCCTAACACAGAAATTAGTCAAAAGGGACATGCAATGCAGATGTTTTACCTCTTGCAATGCTGCCTTCTAGGAAATGCAGTGGCACACTCCGCAGAGCAGAACCACAAAGTTGATGCCTCCATTCATTATAACATTCCGGAGTTGCAGACTTCAAGTTGGGTGTCTCTGCCACAGCAGAATGGCCAGAAAGACTCTCAGCATAAGGGTTTCATACCCCCAGAGCATGAAAAGGTCTCTGACTCAGAAGAGGAGGAAGAGGAGGAGGAAGAGGAGTATCCCAGACCCAAATGGCAGGGGATTGAAGCCATCTTTGAGGCTTACCAAGAACATATAGAAGGTAAGCTGCACTGATTCAGGAGATCCCTTGCCTCAAGTTGTTTCCCAGTGATGCAAAGGGAAAAAAGTTGGAGCAGGTTATTTGCTGTTTACTTTGCTCCAATCTTAGCTATTCCTGTGTGAACATATGCTTATGTGTTCTTTGTCAGGATCAGAAGAGTGTTTTGTCCTGGTAAGAAACACCCTGTGCTTTGTGGACACAAAGTTGCCTAGGATCAGTTTTTCCTTTTCTGTTAAGAGATTTATTGTACAGTCAAACCCCGGTTGTCGAATGTAATCCGTTTCAGAAGCCCCTTCGGCTTTGGAAATGTTCGACAACCAAGGTGCGGCTTCTGATTGGTTGCAGGAGCTTCCTGCACTCAAGTGGAAGTCACATTGGACATTTGGCTTTCAAAAAATGTTTGAAAACTGGAGCATTTACTTCCAGGTTTTTGGCGTTTGGGAGCTGAAACGTTCGACTGTACTATTTTAAGTTCCTCAGTGCCCTTCATTTCTCGAGAAGCATCTTTCATAGTTTAAGACAGGGCAAATTTCAAGATACTTTACAGTACTGAGTTTTTAAGGTTAATACAGACTACAGATGCTCTCCACTTCAGTTTCACTGGTCTGATTGCATAGTGCAAGCATGCAAGCTCCCAAGAGAGACAGCCACTGCTTGGCTTACCATGCTGTCTGAACGTGGGTTCGTGGTTGAGTTCTCTCCAGGCTAACCATGAGCTTTTTAAATCAAGGTTTGTCCTATTATTTACAGCTCAATGTTTTTCCAGGAGAGCTAAACCATGAGGTTTGGGTTCATATGACTCAATAAGCCAAACCATAGATTAGTATAGCAGCAGAACAACCAGGGCAGGGGAGGAACAAAGCAGCCACACTCTTCTCTCTAGGAGCCTGCATGCTCATGCATTTGCACTAAGCCGTGGTCTGGCTTAGTGTGATATACAAACCAGGCCTCTTGAATGAGTACCAGTAGTTTGTCAGGAACCTAGCCTGGTACTGAAAAGTGACAAATTCTCTAAATTTGATTGCAGAGCAAAATTTGGAACGACAAGTGCTGCAAACCCAGTGCAGACGCTTGGAGGCCCAGCACTACAATCTCAGTCTGACTGCAGAACAACTATCGCATGCTATGACGGTGAGTGTGGATTCAACACCAATTGCATCTCAGCTCTAATGTCATTTTTTTCTGTTCTGTGCTTCAGGAACAAAATCCATTATTGTGGTTATACTAATCATGTTACTTGAAATGTCTCTTCTCTTCCTGTGCAGGAACTAAGGAACCAGAAGCAGAAGATTGTCTCTGAAAGGGAACGACTTCAGGCCGAACTAGATCACTTGAGAAAGTGCCTTGCGTTGCCTGCAATGCAGTGGTCTAGAAGTTACTTCAAGGGGTATCCCAGGTGACACTCCCTTGTACTAGGCCGAACATATAGTATAGAAATAATAATCTATTTTATTACCTGGAATATTTAATATTTTTCACTGGGAGGTTTGAAGCTTAAAAATAAAAGAGAATGTGCCATGCATGGAGCAATGGACCGTGGAATCCAGGAAAATCCAAACCCATCTCTTGAAAAGATGCAACTGAATCTTTTTAAGCCTGCGAGTAACTTGCTTAGAAGGACTCTAGTTTTGGTTAAATTTGAAAGGGTTATTTTCCTTCTGCTTCCTCTTCTGCCTTTTTAAAATACTGTTTTTAATCCAGAGATTCCACCAATGACACTAACATCCATCTCCCGTTGAAGGGGCCGGGATTATCTCCATACATATGCTCCTTTTTGTTGCCATATAAGTTCAATTGCTATACTTTGGAATCTGCCCATTTATTTCTGAAATACAGTTTCTCAATCCAAGAGGAGACAAGGTACACATCAGTTTTTGTTAGAATAATCTGGATATTTTGGATACAGAAATAATTATCTGCAGAGTAGTAGGCCTAGCAGAAGAAAATGCAGCTTCCAAACTTGACTTCCCATGCATCTATCAGCTTTTTGCTGGAAATGCATTTCACTTGAAAAATAAAAGTGAATAAATAAACTGAAGGTACCTTTTTATTACTGGGGAGGGGAGGATGTACAGAACAGTGATATACATACAACACACACAGATTATGTACCCCAGTGGGTAGAATTTTCATACAAAGATTTTACAATTAAAGAGTGAAAAAGGTGCTTCAGCCTTGTACTGTGTATATATTTAAAAATGTTTTGTATGTTTTTATTACTTTAATTATTGTTATAAAAAGCTTGCCATTTTCAATATGTTTCTGCTTTTTTTTCTTTTTGGCAAAAAGATAGCTTGCTTTTAGTGTTTGTACTGCTGCTGGTCAGGACATGAAAAAAATATTGAAATGTTTTTTTAAAAGAATTTTAAGGAAAAAGCTTTCCACTGGGGCACGTGCTATCACTTAGGCATTTTGCGATGCATAGCACCAGTTTCTGGTACAGTAAATTCTCCTGCGCAACTGGAGTTTCTTTTCCCCATTTCCCCCTGTCCTGCTACCCTTTTTTTCTTCAAGCACTTGGAATACTGAATGTCATATGATCTGTTGCTATTGAGAGAAGATCTTAGGGACTACACTATCAACGTTAGTGGACAATAATTGGCTTTGTTCCTTTAACCAACACCACTCAAAATCGTAGCACTAGCAGCATCAATTATGTGAGGCTTCCAAAGAAGGAAACATTATTCCAAAAACAGCAAACAGTTAATACAAAGGAAGAAAAATACTGTGATCTGTGCCTGAAGCTGTCTGTTTCCAACCTGCTTCATATACAGACCCAGTAGCACAGAAGCTACTTCTGGCACAGTGTGACCCTGTTCCACAAGAATGCATGTGTACATGAGACCACAAGGGTAGATTTCATGGGTCTTTCATACCTGACTGCCAGTGCAGTTTGCACAGCATTCAGTTGGCTTATCCACATGGTCATGTTATTCACATGCCATGCACTCCTGCAGCAGGAGGGTCACATACACTAAAAATAGGTCCCAGGCTCCTAGGTCCATGGGACCCCTCAGCCTTGTACTAAACCCAGGTAAGAGAGATTTAAAAAGAAAAAGAAAAAAGTTTTACCCAAGTCATGTCTTATTTGGCCCATGTAGCTCCTGCCAAAATTTAGGACTCCTCTGACTGGTTATCAAGAGCTAGTTTGGATTAGTGTTTTCTTTCCATATTTAAGTATTAAACAACATTTTCATACACAGTCCTAGCAGGTGGTTTTGCTATCCTTCCTTATAATCCATGCATTTAAATTTTAAATTGGCAGCACTAGAAATTAAAGGCAAGGTGGATAAGCCAGACATCCATTCACCAACTGATCTGGTCTGCAAACATGCTCTAAAAAAGCTCAAAGCTTTGATTTTTAAAGCCTTGCCTGACAAAGCAGGTTCTCCCTTTGCTTTGTTTATCAGTCTGGCAGCACCAGTCTTTTGTGATGTATGGAAGCTGTTAGATTAATCTACGTCCCTTTAAGGGAAGCCTAGAATCAATATTATAAAGGATCAGCCACATGATTTTATGTGCACTGATCTTTCACACTTGAGGGGATTATATACAAAAGCAAGGCCCAGCCCTCCCAAGTTTAAAATTGTTCCCCCCTTTGCCTTAACTATTCAAGGCCTCACCAACCAATATTTGCAGAATGTGTGGCAAAAGCACAATATTTTGACCAAGAATATAATATAACCCGGGGATTTGTAGCACCTTTATAGTCAAGGTTCACTGAATTTTGTCAGCCTCTTTGCATTTTATAATTTTAGTAGCTGATATGCAATGCTTTTTGCTGTTGCTATTAAAAATTCTCTTTCCCCGAATAATGACAATGAAAGGCAAGCGGGTGTGCTCTTGTAGGACTCTACAGTGGCCAGATGCAAAGTAAAACAATGCTTCTATCCTTTTAAATAGCTGCTTAGAAGTAAATTCAGCTGGTGCAGTTTCCTCACCACTGTGTGACAAACCTACACCTGCCACAATTCCCTTTTCTATGCAACTCTTAAGAATACCAAAGCCCTGACCAGCCTCCAGAAGAAAGTTTATCTATTATAACAAGAAAGAAACCTAGAGCAAATTTATGGACCTGTGTGACACAATGTCCTCTTCCTGAATGCAGAAAGAGATTTTTTTTTTCACATTAGCAAGTGATCCTTCAAACAGCTAAAGCTGCCAGTTTCTGTAATAGTATTCTGAATATCCTTCCCTGATGTACTGAGACAATCGGCTCTATTGGAGCATGGAAGAAAAGAGCAGAAAAATGTAAAGGTCACTCATATTTCCCCCTCTGAATGATGTTAGGTCATTATCACTCATTTGCCTTCAAAGGAAAAAAATTACCTGATTGTCGTTAATACTATTTCATTCCATAAAATAGGTCTTGCCAAAAAAGCAGAATACAAAATTACACCTTAAAAACTTATTTTAGTCACACCCCCTTAGGTCAGCTGAAATGTATCAAAATAAGGGACCACAGGAAAACTCAGTTTGCAGTAGTTTCAGTGCTCATTCTGGCCATTCAGGTTTCAATATATGACCAGAGTAAAGTATTTATGTGAAGTATTGACAGAAGGCAACAAGCTGGCATTGTCAGATAAACCTAAGGGGTGGTGGTAATATAGAAAGTCATAGTTTAATTAGGAAGGTGTTACGGGAACAAAGATGGGATAAAACATTAATGGCTCTACTAATTTATTTCTGTCCAAATAATTATACATCCACTTTCAAGCTATCAAGGTTGAGTGTTAACTGAGGGTAATTTGGATGATATTTCCATACCATGTCTATCAAATTGTTGCAGTAGCAGTGTCTTTCAAGTCAGTGTAGATTACAGCTTTTATATCCTAGTGTTGGCAATGGACAGGGGCAGGGGGAGATAGGCATAGAAAGGAGGAGGCCATTGCACTCATTTTTCTAAATGTAATTGCACTATGTGTATCTTTTTCTTTCAACTGAGCAGAATGTAGGCTAGACTATATGGGAAGATGCTTGCACCACGCTGCTCCAGCTTTTACAAGCCCAACATGTGCTGTTTAAGGACACACATTAGAGCCAATTGGCTTGATTTCTATATATCTACATACAAGAGTAAATAATGAATGTGCACTTACTCAAACTCAGTTGAATTCAAATCCAGATTCAGTGGTACACAAGCTGCCAGATCAGTCACAATTTCCCATTTAGAACAAGCCTGCGTTGTCTGAAATACGTATGTCTTTCCCTCAAACAATGCAAAAAAGCATGAAGGCAGAGAGGTTAGGAGGTGCTAGTATGAAAACTACAGTATCCCATCTTGGAGCAACCCATCTTTCAAAACATTCTCTTCTTTTCTACAATGATGGGAGTCAATTCCTTCTCCCACCTACCCCATCCGTCCCCAACTTTCTGGCCCACTGCTTAAATTCTCAAGACTACCCCATTTGCTCTCCGTTGCCCCCAGGGCCATGCTGACTGGTTGTTGTTATAAGAGGTGCAGAATTTCTCAAGCAACTAAACACAGAGCATGAAGGGAGAGCAGGAGGATAAAGCCCAGACTGGCTGGGGCAGTTTAGATGCTGTGAGACAAATTAAACCTGTTTTAAGTGTACTTGTTTGAATTTAATGTAATGTAATATATTTGTTGAATGTAGTAATTAGGTATTTATGAATATATTGCTGTAATTTCTGACAACATCCAAAAAATAAAATGTTCCTAAATCATGACAAAGGATTATTTTCCCAGCAGCCCCAGTGGTGGATGGAAACTACACCGACTGTGTATAAATTAAAATTCGAAGTGTTAACTATGCTTAAAGACACAGATCAAACCTTTCAACACAATTTGGCATTTTATACAGTATTCACTATGAAGGCATCATACTGCCATTGCCCCAACTATACACTGAGCTAGTTGTTTATTCCCCACTTGGATGAGCAGGCAAGCTAGAAACTTGCAGGGACTAGAACATACACAGCCACCCTAGGACATGAATTCCAAAAGCTAGCACTAAGCTGAACTAGCTCACAAGTCAGCACTAAGTAATACTAGAGAGCACAAAATATGGCAGAAGATGCTATTGAAGGAACAAACAGTTAGAAATCATGATTTTGCATGAAGTAAGTATGATTAATGGATTCCTCAAACAAGGCAAAGATTGTTACAGATTAAAGTAGTACGCATTTAAGATTGTTGAAGTGGTATGGTATATATTCTCCCATTACAAGCAACATCTAGCACCATCATCAATAATGTTACTTTGTCACTACATAGTTTCTTCAGTGTTGGTGTGAATTTCCAACAAATTTAACCTCTCCTACATTTTTTATATTGCAAATGAAAAAAATAACAGGTTGAGCTTGCACTGGGACTCAGCATTATAAAAATATCAAGCATTTCAAAAAATTTTTTACAAACATTGCACTAAAAAGTACAAAATCACAATACTTTTTGAAAAACTTTAATGATCAAGTATCTTGCAGACAGCCAGCAGAGGTCAGTGTGTTGCTGCCTAAACAATGTACACTTTACTGCAGTCTAGTTAAGAATCTGCCTCATTGCCAAGTGTCAACATAACAGTATTTGGACTATACCCTCCTCTTTATTATTTTCTTCCCTTCTGCCCCTACCAACAGCTATAAAGGTTACAAACCAGACAGGTAGGAGCACTCACTGTATGACTGAGGGCCTGAGTCCTAACAGCCAATGAATACCTACATAATTAAAATGGGGTAGATTCTGACTAGCAAGTGACTGGCTTTAGGAAATTTAGAGCAAAGAGTCTACAGCAGAGATAAAATGCTGGTACACAAAACAAATCGATTTACTCTGTGAAAAACAGAAACAAGGCACATGTTCTCACTTTCTGCAGACACACATACACAAAGCAGTTCACTTCAGTGGTTGCTGACAAAGCAACCAGAGAGGATCCTTTATCTCTTGAGGACAGTTGACAAATAGACTGCAGTAAGTGATATCACAGTGGAAGCACACAGTGCCCTGCTGAAAAGATGGGTTATCATTCCCCAGGCAGGCTCACAGGAGTGCTGTGCAGCCAGGTGTATAAAATAGTCTCACTCTGTCATCTTTCCCAGAGACATCTGAAAATAAGGGCCCACTGAGGAAGTGGATCCTGTGGAGAAGGATCAATTCATTTTCTTCTAGTTTTAAGACTGAGAGTAAAGCAATCCAACAAAGTAGCAAGGCAACTGCAAAGAGCTGCAGCCAATTCACCTTGGAATGACAGTCACACAGGAACTGAGAGGACTGTTGCACAGGATCATCTGTTTGCTGAGGAGAGCTATTGTCAAAAAAGGCTTTGCACCCCAATTGCTGAGGATAGATACAAACCCCTGTGTTCCTGGCAGACTGGATCAGCCTTAGTTTTCCAGTATTTGTCCACAAAAGGATATGTTATACTGAACCTTCCCCTGACATCGTCTTTGCCTTCAATACAATCTTATAGGAGTACTGGAGACCAATATTTTACTGAGGCAGCTGCCTAAAGCTCAGGAAAAACTGCTGAGAAGCAGAATGTCAGAATGTATTTCATGGAAGATTTCGGTTGTCAAAAGTCCTGAGACTGGGAACTTTCTCCAGGCTGGAGATTTGTACGGAGCTTGTACATATGATCTAAAGCTTGAGTAAGGAAAGCCCCAGTAGTGTTGATCTCCATTAGAGTCAGATTATCCACCTTATAAGAGAGAAGGAACAAATGTTACAAAACAATAAGCACAAGATTTGTAAAAAAAATTACATAGTTATGTGGTCACGTAAGGAATAACAGAATGTGGTTGTACCCCTCAATAGTTTCCGTAAACATGTTTCTAGTTCACATAATTGCAAGGCCAGGGCTTAGTGACATTTATGCATAATCTTCCAAAAACATGTAAGATTAGATTGTGTTTTTATTGACTAGGGGAAGAGATCCCCTAGTTTCACTTACCCCAAGGATGGTAAACCTGTGACCCTTTAATTGTTGGGACTCTCAGCTCCCATCATCCATGAAAATTGACACATTGCCTGGGGCTGATGGGAGGTAGAGTCCAGGAACATCTAGAGGGCCACAGGTTCCCAATCCCTGATGTATACATTTATTTCCTCCTGAATTCTCAGTCTTGAAAATTGTCCCCAAATATTTCAAACAGGACTACAGCAAAGATAGCCTACTAATCCAGTCCAGTTGTTGTGTTCCATATAGAATTTCTGCTCACAGAATTTGGGAGAAGGGGGTAGTAATGGGACACCAGCCACATGAAAAAATCCTGCAGTGCAGCCTTCACCAACCTGGCTCCCTTGAGTTGTTTTAGACTACAGCTACCATCAGACCTAGCCAGCCTGACAAACAAACAGGGATGTGGTAAGAGTTGTAGTTAAAACATCAGAGTTGGGAAAGGCTGCTGTAGTATCTGAACTGTTTCACATATATACATACATGATGTTTATACAGTATATGTCCCAACATCCTGATATGGAACCAAACTAGAAAATAGGGTGGTTTCACATAATACAGATTAAGGGAGCACATCTACAAATGTGCACAAGTATTTCAAGAACAGACTTGCTTCATGCATCTTAGCAGCAAGATGCATTTGACTGGAGCTCTCTAGTGCTGTACATAATGGCAAGATCAGTGCATATCATCATTCAATAAGTAAGATTCAGTGCACAGGTGATTCATAACATTCAAAGCAAAATTGCAAACATTCATGCAAAAGACTATACAATGCTTGCAAGTATAAATCAGTGTCAAAAGAGCAGCAATCAAAAAACCAGACCTGCTGCCGCCATTTCTTGCTAACTAGGGAACCGCTGCCACTTTCACAATCAATTTTAGATGACTCCCACAACACACTGCTTGAACATGCACTACTCATATATTTTCATGTACTACACTACAAAACTTAGCAACTCATCACAGATTCCTCTTACCCTGGCATGAGCTTCCTGCTGTCTAACAAAGCTATCAGCAGACAACCGGAGTTTTGCAATTCGAGTGTCCCAGGTATCCTTAACCAATGTTCGGATCTCATCTGCCTTTGGAATATTGTCCACAGCACTAATGGAGAAGGGAAAATTATCAGAATGGGTGAAGAACTGTACTTCAATGGTAGAGCATCTGCTTTACATGCAAATGGTCCCAGATTCAATCCCTGGCACCTCTAGATATTTTATAAGTATTTCAAAACTACCTTCCACTATACCATCACAACATATTAAAACAGCACTACATATTCTAAAACTAATTAAAACATATATATTGTCCACTAGCATCTTAAGAGACCAACTAAGTTTGTTCTGGGTATAAGCTTTCGTGTGCGTACACACTTCTTCAGATACCTGTGTGTGCATGCACATGAAAATTTATACCTAGAACAAACTTAGCTGGTCTCTAAGGTGCTACTGGACAATTTTTTTATATACCGTATTTTTCGCTCTATAGGACGCACTTTTTCCCCTTCAAAAATGAAGGGGAAATGTGTGTGCGTCCTATGGAGCGAAGATGCCATAGCCCTGCGACCCTCTCCCGGCTGGAGAGGTGACGCGCGGCTATGGCAGGAACCTCTACAGCCCCGTGTCACCTCTCCAGCCGGGAGAGTGCGCGCGCGGGGCTAAAGCAGCCCCCCGCGACCCTCTCCCGGCTGCAGAGGTGACGCGCGGCTATAGAGGCTCCTGCCAAAGCCGCGCGTCACCTCTCCAGCCGGAGAGCGCGCGCGGGCTAAAGCAGCCCCCGCGACCCTCTCCTGGCTGGAGAAGTGACGCGCGGCTATGGCAGGAGCCTCTACAGCCCCGCATCACCTCGCCAGCCGGGAGAGCACTCGCAGGGCTAAAGCAGCCCCGCGCGCGCTCTCCCGGCTGGGGAGGTGACGCGCGGCTATGGCAGGAGCCTCTAAAGCTGCGCGTCACCTCCCCAGCCGGGAGAGCGTGCGCGAGGCTAAGCAGCCCCCGCGACCCTCTCCCGGCTGGAGAGGTGACGCGCGGCTATGGCAGGAGCCTCTATAGCCGCGCGTCACCTCCCAGCCGGGAGAGTGCGCGCGGGCTAAAGCAGCCCCCGCGACCCTCTCCCGGCTGGGGAGGTGATGCGCGGCTATAGAGGCTCCTGCCATAGCCGCGCGTCACCTCTCTAGCCGGGAGAGGGTCGCGGGCCATGGCTCTTTAGCCCCCGTGACCCTCTCCCGGCTGGAGAGGTGATGCGCGGCTATGGCAGCAGCCTCTACAGCCCCGCGTCACCTCTGCAGCCGGGAGAGCGCGCGTGGGGCTAAAGAAGCCATAGCCCTGCGACCCTCTCCTGGCTGGAGAGGTGACCCGCGGCTATGGCAGGAGCCTCTCCGCTGCGTCTTTCCGCTGCTCCCTGACCTGCTCTTGGGGGGTGGTGGTGGGCTACCCCCCGCCCGCCCCAAAGAGCTGGTCTAAAGTAACCTGACGCCTGGAGAGCGAGTGGGGTCTGTGCACACCGACCCCTCTCGCTCTCCAGGCTTCCAAGGTAGCCGCCTGAACGCACCTTAAACGGCACCTTGTTTTAGAGCAGGAAGACAAGAGGGGGAAAGTTCTCCCCCTCTCTGCGCAGCGCCTCCTGCTGCTTCACTGAAGGGGCGCTGGGCAGAGAGGGGAAAAAAATTTTTTTCTTGTTCTCCCCCCTCTAAAACAAAGTGCGTCCTATTGTCCGGTGCGTCCTATGGTGCGAAAAATACGGTATTTTGACTGCGTCAGACCAACACTGCTACCTATCTGAATCTAAAACATTAATGTGAAATAAGCAAGATAAGAAAGCCACTGCCAATCAGTGCAGAAAATACTGAGCTAAATGGAGCAGTGGCCTGACTCTAAAAGGTAAGCTTTCTACATTCCTAGAATAAGCTACTAAAGAACAATTGTCACTTTGTATGCTCATTTCATAAATTGATGGACATAAGCAATATTCATCAGCTTCTAAAGCAGTTGTTGTTTATTTTCCCCATATCTGAAGCTACAAAACACTGGATGAGCTGAATTCTACATTATTGCATATGAGAATATTGAACTCTGTGTCAACCTCGTTTTGAAGCTAAAGGTTACAGAAGAGAGATATACTGCCATTACAACAAAAGTTAAGCACCATACTAATAGACGCAAACATCTGCATTTGATAAGCACTCTGGACAATGTTCATTTAATGTTCCCTTCTGGCTGTCATTCTCTCATATATAAAATTCGCCATCATCTAGATGAAATCCAATGTGACCCTAAATGGTTTGTTCACTAAACTGTTTGTTCATATTAGAACTGTCAACTAGAAATCTTGCCAGTGGGGATTCCTTTCATGGAATGATTTGGCTTTTAACTGTAAGCTACCCTGAGATAGGCAAATACATTGGAATATCAGGATATATTTTCTAAATCAATCAAAAAACACTCACTAGTTCAGCAACAACTTTGTTATTTCCATGTAGAATGGGCTAGGCATTGGAGTGAAAGTATCTTCCTTGCGCTCCTGATCCCGAATTTGCTCCAGTTTTTCTAGAAAGTGATCAAAAAGAGATATGGTATACAAAGAACTAGATGTTGTAATTTCCTGCTTCCAGCAGAAATAAATCCTGCAAGAACAACCACTTCATCAATACACTGCATAAAGAGGAGACAGCATTCCCATGGAGGAGCTTCAGCAATGAAAAGTTACTAACAGGAATCTGTTAGTCTAGCTAGCATGCTGTCATGTTCGGTAACAGTACTACTAGGGCTCCTAAAGGAATCAGCACCTCTATTGTGAAGCCATTCTCCATCAAGACTCAAAAAACCTGGTGTGATAATAGCACAAGTCGGCAAGTTAGGTAGAGTTGTGCTTAACATGAATGAGCAATCATCTCACTACTACAGACCTTTGTGAACAAACATAATGATTTGCCATGAAAACACATATTTGAAATCAAGGTTAAAGCACACTAATATAATCATAATTCTGGATGTCTTAGAATTCACTTGTTAAACTTACTTTTTTATATTGTTGTAAACAGTTGATATATTTTTGATACAGCAGTGTGTTTGTGTGTAAGTGTTATATATATACGTATGTGTGTGTGTGTGTGTAAGAAGAATTAGAGCACTGCCTATATCACATATTGCTGAAATTAGTATAGCTTTCTATTTTTGAAAAAAGTACATTATTTTTAAAACATTAATAAGAAGTTAAGAACTTTAGAAACTAACATTCAATCATAATTTTTAAAACCTATGCTGAGATGCAGCAATAAATGTGGATGGATAGCCAGGTAAACAAATTTTTAAAGCAATTAAAGATATTCTAGCAATTGAGAAACAATAACTTCAACTCAAGCAGCAAAGATCCAACTCCTATGAGAGGCCACTCACAGTTAATAATTTACTTGCAGGTGATAGTTCTTACCTACATCCATCCATTCTGGAGGTATAAGTCGACACTTCTGTCTTTGCTTTAGGTTGATAGCCAGCCAGAGAGGCACATCCACAGGCAGCCCAGGATTAAAGGGACCCAAGTCCCCCTAAGTGAGACATTCACAATGAGGTGCATAAGAAGCTGCCTTGTATAACTGTATCTAGCTCAAGGACTTGACATTGCATGGGAGAAACTCTACACTGTTTCATACATGAGTTTTTGCCAGCCCTGCCTAGAGATGCGTAGGAATAACACCTCAAACCTTTTGAATACAAAGCATGTATACCACCACAAGGAAAAGTCCTTTTTTTTTTTTTTTTTGGCAATTCTAATTTCTTTAACTGCTTGTTAAGCTTCATTTCTGGGGAGAAGTGACTAAGCTGAATTTTCAGGGAATAATTCAAAGCTATATTATAATTAAGCTGGTCAATGGTCCATATAGTACAGCACTGTCTACTGCAGGAGTAGCCAACGTGTTTCCATTCAGATATAGCTATATTCTCAGTGACCACAAATAGGTTATTCCCTCATTTCATCTGAGATGTTTATTCTTTAATATATTCAAAAGACATGACCATGTATGGAGGACTGCAGGAGAAATGGGAGTCAGGCAAAGTCATTATCAACCTGCTCTTTGTCTCCCCTACAATACAATAAACTGTCTTGTGGGAAATATCCTGATGGTTTTGAAAATGTTGATATTGCTTGTTGTTTTTTAAAGTTGTTTAATAATTTCTTTAAAGCCGCCTTCAAAGGATTTGTATCCTAAAATGTGGGATAACTGCAACACACATTATTTCCCAACTGTAGCAAAAAGAGAATGTTTTGCAACACCCAAGTACAGTCATGGGGAAAAGAAAGTACACCCTCTTTGAATTCTGTGGTTTTACATGTCAGAGCAAAATAACAATCATCTGTTTCTTAGCAGGTCTTAAAATTACGTAAATAAAACCTCAGATGAACAACAAAACATATTACACCGTGTCATTATTTATTTAACAAAAATAAAGTTAAAATGGAGAAGACATGTGTGGAAAACTAGGTACACCCTTACTGCTTCCATAGGAATTAAGAGGCTAAGTAGCAGACAGGTGCTGCTAATCAAATGCCCTTGCTTAACTGACCATCAGAAAATGTGACCACCTCTACAGATGCTGAAGTTTTAGCCATTTGCTGGTCTGGAACATTCAGGTGTGTTTTAACACAATGCCAAGAAGGGAAGACATCCCAATTCATGGCTCTTGCACTGGCATATAAAGCCCTAAACAATCTGCAGTCCCAAAATAAAGAGCACACCCTCCCTTATAAACCTGTCTTAAGTTCTGCAGGAATGTCCAGCAGGCTGTTTCACCATCCTGTTAAGCTTGTGGGGTGGTGGTACATGGAAGGAGCTTCTCTGGGATGGCCCCCAAGTTGTGGAATGTACTCCTTTCTGAGCTTCAGAGCTGCATCTAGCCCCAGCAGAGGCCAAGTCCAGCATACCACTCACTCTGCAGTGTTCCTGATGGTTTTGTGTTCGTGTTTACAATCTATTGGTGTTGTTATGCAGAACAATGCGGCTAGTGTGTTGTTTAAAGCAGTATGCAACTTTGTATTGGGACTGCATGGTGAAAAGTAAACTATAAAGCTGTAACAGATTTATTAGTACTGTAGCCAACGTTAAGTCATACACACAGTAGAGCTGCTGAAATTAAAAAGGCAATAAATTGATGCAACTTGGATTCATTAATTTCAATGGGTCTACTCTGAGTAGCACTTCGTTGGCTACAACACTGTCTTCCAAAGCGACGTAAGGCTCTCTTTTTATTGCTTAATATGATTTGAATAAAGTTGACTCTTGCTCAATGACCATGTACTGATAATTTCTAATCTTCCATTTTTTAAGCGTTTTGTTTCGATAAGGTGCTAGGAGTCGTGCGTTTTTTCATTGCTTCTTCCCTCCTTTCAAGAGCTGCCTGCGTTATTCAAAGGCGAGGCATAAGCAGTAATAAAAGTAACTACTATTGGGTGTGCTTTTCCCGCCATTTTTTTCCGTTCGAGGTACTTATTAGCGGAATATATAGCACAACTACACCGTTAATAAAACATTACTATTAATTAACCGCAAGCCCCCGCCCTCCGCTCCACGATTTCGTCTTTTAAACGCTGATCTCCCACCCCACGCCGGCCGCCCCACTTTCTTATCCCCTTTGCTTCCATCCCATAATGTTCTCTTCCTCACACTTCGACCTCGGTCGGCATTTCATGACTACCCGCCTCCGACGTCCCGCCAGCCGGGCTCCCTCCGCCGCCGACCCACCCCAATGAGGTAAATCCGGTCCATGCTGAAGTTGGGTATAATGGTGACCAGCTCCTGCTCGGCCAGGAACTCGGCCTCGGCGGGATCCATCGGAAGACGAAAAGAGGCGACCTGGCAGAAGCTAGGCCTCAAAACCGCCCCGGGAGCACCGTGAGGGGAGACGGCGGAAGAAGCAAAAAGCGCGCCGTCTCAGCGCTCGCGACCACGAGACGCTGAGGTGACTACGCCTCTCATTGGTTGAGGGGGGAAAACAAGCCCCACCCACTACGCCCTCTCCGTTATTATAGGTAAGTCTCTTTCGCGCGCATAGTTTCCTCTCCCGGTCTGAGGTAGTAGAGCCTGCGATTGGCCAGAGAGCAGAAGCAAGGACCCGCCTACCGCTTACGGTATGAAAAGTCTCTGCCTCTTTTTTCGCGCGCTCATTCGCGCCCTGAGTTAAAGGAGTCCCTCATTGGTTGGTGTGGAAAAACAAGCCCGCCCGCTACCCTCTCTTCGTCATTTGAAAGGTTCTCGCGCGCACAATCCTCCCTACTTGCCCCCACCCCCTCCCCCGGTAGTGGCGCATGTCATTCAGGCAACACAAGAGCGCCGCCCGCCTACTCCCTACGATAGGAAAGTCTCCGACTTTTCTTTCCGCGCTCATTCCCCGCCTGAGGTATCACCCCCTGGAACTGATTGGCTACCAAGAGCAAGCTCCGTTCAATCCCAGCTGCTGCTTCCTATGAAAAGTGCGGGATATTCCACCCCCTCACTCGCACGCCACAAGGCTGGGGCGTTTAGTTGGTGCCTGTTGTGTACTAAGCTTGGATCCTAGAATAGGTAGGTGGGATCCTAGAATGCAACAACCTGATTGGCCTGCAGGAGCGGCCCAATCAGGCTCCAGGAGGGAAGCAGAATCAGGCGGGATTGTAAATAATGTACAGCGGTACCTCGGGTTACAGACACTTCAGGTTACAGACGCTTCAGGTTACAGACTCCGCTAACCCAGAAATAGTACCTCGGGTTAAGAACTTTGCTTCAGGATGAGAACAGAAATCGTGCTCTGGTGGCGCGGCAGCAGCAGGAGGCCCCATTAGCTAAAGTGGTGCTTCAGGTTAAGAACAGTTTCAGGTTGAGAACAGACCTCTGGAACAAATTAAGTACGTAACCAGAGGTACCACTGTATATAAAGCTTGAGGTTTTGGGGGAAATTCATTCACTGTTTTATGAGCTGTAATAAAGAGCATGAAATCACTACGCGACTCCGAGTATATTTCACTGGCGGCAAAGGTAGGATCCTGCTGAGCTGTCCGCTGTTCACTGCACCGCTGCCGCCACTGGCAACACTGCTGCATTGCACCACGTATCCAGGCTACAGCTCTGCGACCCAAGGACCCCAAATGGCAACAGATAACAGCTTCACGCCATTCAACCCAGCCTCAGGAGATGGGGGAGGATACACCAGCCGTTTCCAGTTCCTCCTGGAGGCAAAGGACATCACCGACGCAGCCAAGAAGAGGACGACGTTCTTCAGATTCTGTGCAGAAGAAATGTTCGAGATCGCCTGAGTCCTCCTCGCACCTGCAAATATCGTGACCGTTCCCTACAACACGATAATGGAACGGCTGAAGGGGCACTTCTCGCCACTTCTGGCTACCTCAGTTGTAGCGTGTCGCAACGCCTTCTACCCAAAGCGGCAGGCCCCTGGTGAAACCATAACCAGGTATGTGACCTCCCTCTGCTGGGCTGCCCGGCTCTGCAACTTCACAGAACTGGAGAACATGCTCTGCGACAGCCTTAAGGCGGACTGAGGGACGAGAAGCTGCAGCGGTGCCTCTACGCCAAGAAGGACCTGATGTTCCAGGTCGCCCCAGAGGAGGCCCTGGCGATCGAAGCCGCCGAGAGGTCAGTGCAAGGATTCCGGTCGAACTCATCGTTCCAACCGAGGGTCCACCACGAGGACCTCACCGACAACTCAGAATCTGACCAGGAGGATGTGCACCGAGTGCAGCAGCGCACACAAGCTGCACGCCCACCATAACAGCCTCGGTCAGAATAGGAGAACTGTGCAAGCTGCAGGGAGAGCTACAAGCGAAGGACTTGCTGTTTCCACAATGCAGAATGCTGACAATGCAGAATGCATTGCCCAGGCACCTATTGGCTGGAGGTTTTAGTTTGCTTTCCCCCATCCCCCGCACTATATTGGGGTTTTTCCAGTTTGTGGTCTCTGGCTCATGTTCTTGGGCCCTTCTTGTCTTACTGGCTTGTTTCACATCAACCAGGATCTGATAGCAAAGCCTGAGCGTGATTTGATCCTTTAAAGCGGAGGCGGAACCTGTGGACTACAATTCCCATCATTCTTAACTATTGACTGGCTGGTAGGGCTGGGAATGTCTCTTGCCTGACTGTCTCTCCAGCTTGCTGCTTTACTTTTGGATCACATCACTGCAGTGCAACTGAACTCCAAACTCTGGCTTCATCCTTCTAACCAGGAACTGGATGAGGAAGTCTATCCATATGCAATCTCACACATAACCCCTTTTCTTTGTTTCTTTAATGGCCCATCATGGGCTATAGCCTCAACACAGGAAGCTATCCTGGTTTATATTTAGCACTTGCTTGGTCCAGGGGTTAGTAGGATCTCACATGCAACCTTCTTCCTCCCCTGCTCCCCAACTCATAACATTATGTTCTAGTTTCACATTGCAGGACAAGATTGGTAACCATTGGACAAAGCATATTCATTTCTTGTTTCTTGCGATATTTGCTGGAAAATATGATTAATCTCATCTGCATGCCATTGCTTTTTTTGCTTTATTTAAGATTTCTATTTGTTAAATAAAGTGTTTGAAAATCATTTCATTGACATCTTGTTATTGAGGAACCCCTGAATTCCTCAGAGCACACGATTACCAGATGACAGGTGACAGACAGGGATCTGGCAGGAAAGAAACTAAAAGCACAACTTTTCAATTTCAAAGCACCATTCCTGTGTCTTTACACACATTTCGCAAGGTTCATTTCCCACATGATGTAGTGCTGGCCCCCAACTGTGGTGACTTTAAAAGAGACTATTTTTAATTTCGCTTATGAAACTCTTCTTACGAAGCATCTTGAATTGATTTCACAATACAATAAAGACAATATGGTGCAATTGCATATATAAAAACAAGTACAATACATATATTGACTAGAGCAAATTCATGGGAGATAAGTTTATCGTGATGGCTATGTCCACTGTTGGAGGTGATAACCTCTGAATAGCAGTTGCTAGGAATCACAATCAAAGAGAGCACTGTTGCACTCAGGTCTGGTTTGCAGGCTTTTCACTGGCATCCGGCTGGCCACTGAGAAATGGGTGCTGGACTTGATGGGCTACGGGCCTGATCCAGGAGGGCTTATATTCTGTCACTGGGTGGGGTTCAAGAGGCGGTGGCAGTGTGTGACAGGGCATTTTCTGTGGTGGCTCTCAAGTTGGCAAGGGTGGAAACTGCTGCATGGTTGCACCTACTGTGTGCAGTCCCCATTGCACTTGTCCATCAAAGTTTTGTTCGTACAAAGGCAGCAGCTTGTGGTGGTCACAAGAAAGCACACTGAAAAGCCTGCATAAGACCAAGCTTGCAGCAACTCAATGATGAGCACCCACTGTTATGCACAAGATTCAACTTGCTTTTGATGGAAAACAGCACTTCAGATGCAGAAAAAAGCTGCATCTTGTAGATGGGTCGCTGCCAGCACTTGTGACAGGCTTGTCTCAGGCAGAGCACCACTATGCACTCTGTTTTCATGTGCAAAGTGCATGCACCAATGGGTGTTAAAATTAATTCACTCGCTAAGTAAACTTCCATATGTTTTCCCCGAAAACAACAACCAGGAATTGTTGAAGGGATAAATAACGACACAACAATCTTTAGGCACTCTTCAGAGACATATTAATGTCCAAAGTTCTGAGTCAAGGAGGGAAAGAGGGGAAAGGGTGGCTTTCACTGTAGAGTGATTTAGAGCATTGTCAACTGAGCAGTTAGACTGTCGCCATGGAAACTGAAAGCCTTCCAACAATATTAGCTGTGACAGGTCTATTTAATAGCCCATCCATGCAATCCTCTTCAAAATACTGCTTTATTCTTCTGCCTTTATATCTCTGCTGTAGCACAAACCTTGATGCAACAGGGAGTGAATTAAGAAGGATCGGGGTCTGAGGTAATAGTCACTGCCTCCTAAATAATACTTTTGAGGGGGTGGGAGGTGATCCCTCTTATCACCTTAGATCTTATCATTTCATCTTTGTGTTGCATTAATAAAGATTATAAGTGATTATGATTGGAGAGTTGGGAAGGTAACTATAATCTTCCTTCTGTTCCTGAGACTGAAATGTCTTGTTATGTCTGGATCAGCCCTTCAGGTGTCTATTCAGTCCCTTCCCCACAAGCCCCTAAAAGAAGAAAATTTCATCATCTTGGTTAAAGTAGATAAGGTCTCCATTCAACCCGTTTGAAAAACAAACAAAAAAAGTCTATACAGCCATCCATCATTTTATTTGTATGTCACCTTTCCATAGTTAAAACCATGCTTAAGGTGGTTGACTTACAACATGAGAAAATATGTAATTACAAGCATAACAAAAGTTGATGTTGGCTTCCATCTGTCTTGAGAGAAAGTGGAGTGTGCCTCTGGGGGTGACGTCAAAGAGCTGCATTAGCAGCACCAAAATGCCCTTTTGGTTTCAGATAGTATATGGGTAAGGTAAAGGTAAAGGGACCCCTCACCGTTAGGTCCAGTCGCGGATGACTCTGGGGTTGCGGCGCTCATCTCGCTTTACAGGCCAAGGGAGCCGGCGTACAACTTCCATGTCAAATGGCCAGCATGACTAAGCCGTTTCTGGCGAACCAGAGCAGCGCACAGAAATGCCATTTACCTTCCTGCCAGAGTGGTACTTATTTATCTACTTGCACTTTGACGTGCTTTCGAACTGCTAGGTTGGCAGGAGCAGGGACTGAGCAACGGGAGCTCACCCCGTCACAGGGATTCAAACTGCTGATCTTCTGATCGGCAAACCCTAGGCTCTGTGGTTTAACCCACAGCGCCACTCACGTCCCGCTAGTATATGGGTAGACGAGTCTAAAAAGGAGGCTTAGTTTGGTCAGAATTGAGTATATACTTCCAGAGTTAAGGCTAAATACATTGTTTCTAGCAAATCATCAGTGCTACTAGAGGGCTATGAAAATTTGTGTCCTGGGCTTTTTATGACTCATCTACCCATGTACCAACTGAAATCCTAGGGACACATTGGTTGCCACATGTGACCCCCCCCCCGGCAGTTCTCCTGCCCCATTACAAGGATAAGGGCTAGGAAAGCTTATGGCATGACTTTGAGATCTACCAATGCTAAAGTCAGAAGCCTCTTTTCAATGCAAGGTTCAGCTTAGAATAACCAATGAGCAGTCATGAAGAGACAGTGAACCAGCGCATGTCAAGCAGGAACACAAGAAGCTGCCTTATACTGAGTTCTATCATTGGTCCATCCAGCTTAGTATTCTCTCCACTGACTGGCAGCAGCTTTCCTGAGTTCCCAGCCCTACCAGGAGATTCTGGGAATTGATCCTGAGACCACCTGTGCACAATGCAGGTGCTCTATCCCTGAGCTATTGCAAGTACTACACACACACACACATACAGAGAGAGAGAGAGAGAGAGAGAGAGAGAGAGAGAGAGAGAGAGTGTCCATTCAGGTGCTCTATCCCTGAGCTATTGCAAGTACACTCTCTCTCTCTCTCTCTCTCTCTCTGTGTATATATATATATATATACACACACCGTCCATTCATCTAGCTCAGTATTGTTAAAACTGACTGGCAGCAACTCTCTAGGTTTCAGGCAGCAGTCTTTCCCAGTGCTACCTGAAGGTGCCGGGGATTGAACCTGGACCTTCAGCATGCAAGTTGCCCTCCTTTCCCTTCCAACCTCTGCTTTGTTGTCATCAGCCTGCCCTATTTCCAGGCTTCCTCGACTCTCCTCTTACACCCACCCCTGGCTGGCATGCAGTGCTCCGTCTGTTCCATCATGTACCAAACAAATTTCTTGGGCAGAGGATGGCAAAAGAAGGCTTGCTTTGTGCAGAATCTGGGGTGAGAAAACATACCAGGCAACCCTCTTTCTCTCCGAAACAAAACAAAAACTCTCAAATATCTCACCCAGCATCAATCTTACAAATTGAGCAGCTCTGTGCATGGTAAGTCCATTTGCACAAATTGCTTGGGTTTGTATCATTGGCTTTGGCTGGGTTCCAAAGAAGGATATTTCTTCAAGCACTGCTCTTAGCGATGGTGTGGGAAGTTTGCGGGGTGAGGAGGTGCACCTGCATGTATTTTGGCATGTCTGAGCAATGGTTAAGGGCACAGGAACCAGACCAGGCAAATAAAACTACAAGCTGGCAATTCTTTATTTCCCCCTGCCCTTCCCTAGGGAACGATGCCCAGCGGATTTCTGATCCTCACATAGCTTATTTTAAATCTTTCCCTCATCTGCTTCCGCAACTATAGTTAAATTTTTTATTTCCAGGATTTGTACACAGGGAAAATAATACACTGCTCTTCAAAAGCCAATCGCCTGCCTGTCTCTGGGGAGCAATAATCTAAACCCGATTGGAATGCACTGCAGTGTAGCCAGGCAGCCTATAAACAGCTCTGACATGGTGTGAATACACTTTGGTGTCTTTTGCCATCTGCTGCTGCCATTAAAAAATTAAATTTCCATCTGTTTTTACACCCTCCCCCTACACACACACACACACACACACACACACCCTTCCCAGAGGCTTCAGATGAACCCTGTTCCTTGTTGCAAAGCCTCAACTAACATATTCTTTCAGCAGACCATGTTGTCGCTCTGTGTATGTGCAGCTGGGGGTCAGGTGGAATGGTCTGGTTTGCAAATGATACTGATTTTCATGGGATTCAATCTATCAGTCTCACTGTTTGTTTACCTTCTCCCTTCCTGTTTTAGTTTAGTTTCATTTAGTTTAGAATCCACAGGGGGGCAGGGGTGGAGAAAAAGGTGATGGTGGAAGAAACCCCAACCAAAATGCTATTTATACCTTACTGGAAGCATGGGATGGTTTGAAATGATGGGAACAGCTGGATTAACACCCCCCCACACACACACATAACAGCTGAGCCATGTTTGCAGACCACCAAATAGGATTTTCTATGCTTGATATAGTGCCCAGTCTGCCATAGTCACTATTAGAGACTAATCTGTCGATCTCTCTCCTTTTCTCATTTCCCCAGCCTTAAGCAGTTCTCCACATTTCCACAACAGTTTGGGAATATTTTTTTAGAGGTCCTCATGAAAATTCACCACCGTTTCTGGGTGACTTTCTCCTCATATTCACATTTCTGAATGTAATGATGCTTAATATACACCTCTTTGCAGAGCACACATTCCCTAATATTTACATGTCTCCTAATGTAATGCATTTTTGTATATTGCTTTCACCAATGCACACTTTGCTTATGTACATATATGCTTTACTTGGATGTGCATTGCAAAATCCAGAGAAGTGTGGATTTTGGAGGACGGCTGTGCTTCGATTCATATATTGTTTTGGAAAGTGCAAATTATGCAGCCATAGTTGTAGGAAGTTGCAGTTTAGGCCAGGGCAGTCCAACACATAGCTTGGGGGCCTCATCCAGTCCTCAAGGCCTTTTTTAGCTGCCCTCAGAAACCTCTGATGCCCCCGCCCCACAACCCTTGTGATGCCTTCCCAAAGCTAGGTAAGCAGGGCTTTGGGAAAGGCATGAGGACTCTGACAGGGTCCTAGAGTCCACCTTCCTCCTTCACAAAGCCTAATTAGTGTTTTTCTCAGCCTGTGTTGCTGAGAAATAAGAAAGGCAATTTTATTCCAAAGTAGCTGAAAAGGAAGCTGAGGACGCCAGAGAATTTGCAGCACAGATTTTTACTTCTTATTATTGTGTTGTGTTTTAAGATAAGCACAAATGCTCTGGCAAGAAGGCTATCTGTGGATTTGTGCAAGGTGGCTGATCCCTCAAGGGGGAGCAGATTCAGACAAATTAAAATATTGTTCTATTTCGGGGGGGGGGGGGGAGATAGGGACCTGGGTGGTGGAAGGAAATTGAACTGCCTTTGAGGTCTCTTAGCAACAGCAGCATGTTCACTTCCGAACAAATCACATGCTTTGATCACAGCTATGTGTTGTTATTGGAACAATTATAGCCGTATCCCAACAGTGCTGGATTTTGGACAGTGTCTCTCATCTCAGTGGATTACAAAGAACCTTTAACAGAGTAAATAAAGGATGAGGAATATCAGGCCCAGTGTCTGAATGTGGCCCTCCAGACCTATCTGGCCCTCAGGATTCTCCCCAGGCCACACCCTCCAACAGCTTCACACATTCCCCATACATGTTTTTGCTTGACTGGATGGAGAATAGAGGCGGGTGCATGTCTAGGTGTAGCCGAGTGTACTGGACAAAGGGGCAATTCACATGTGTTGCTCCTCCCACTTTTGAGGTAATAATGAGGCGTTTAAATTTGTTCATGCTAGAGGAAGTCAGATAATTTGGAGAGTGGGGAATTAAGCAGTGGCTAGACACTTCCTTCCTTTTCCTTGATGGGGTTCCTAGTTCACACCAACCGTTTAAATGGTAAGCCTTCTTCTTCGTCCGCCTCTGAACTGGATTACAGAATGCGCCCCAAGAACATGACTGCTGAGATGCAACATTAACTTTCTATTATTAATGCAATGGGGCAAAGAAGAGGCAACGCATGCCGGGGGGGGGGGGGAGCCATCATCCTCTCCTCCCAAGACCATTCAAGCCAGAGGATGATTCTCAGTTTGGGGTCTGTTTGTTTTATTGCTCCCCATTCATTATGTTTGTGGGATTAGTGATGTGCTGCTTCTTAATTAGAATAATAGAACTGCAGAATTAGAAGGATCATCTAGCCCAACCCCTGCAATGCAGGAATCACAGCTAACTAATCCCTGACATAGCAAAATACCACATAATCACCCAGAAAGGCTCCTTTTTGTCACTGGATCCAGGTCTGATTAGCCAGATCTCTAGGAAGGATAATAGTTCCCAGACACTGTTCTTGTTTAATGTACCCTGATCTGAAAAGAATTGACAACCAGTCCATAAAACCAAGTGGGAGATTTTTATGTGTAATAAAACCATGATGCTTTATAAATATCCCTCCCCTTCCAGAGACTTGGAAAACATTTTTATTTTTTTTGGAAGCAAACATCCATGCCAGCTCACAAAGTCTAGAATCCATGCTAAGGCTGAAACAAAATATTCTTGCACCAAACTCAGATGTTTGCATCCCTCTAAAAAATAATGTTAGAAATTAAATGTATGGTTCTCAAATATTATAAAAAAGGGGAAGGCAGGAAATGACATCCAATTTTCTTACATAGCTGATAGCAATCTAGGTATGCAATAATCTGATGCTCATTCCAACAATCATTCCATCTCTAATAATACAATAATATTTAATAAGAAGTGCCTGCAAGAATCCTAGGCTCTCTGCAATTGCGTACAGAGGTTGATTGGGTTTAATTTGCTGCATGGATGAGAAGATTTTGATGCTTCTGAAGTCAAGTCAAAATCTGTATGGCTATTTGAGATTCCCTGATATTGAACCTAAAGATTTGGTTGTGGGAAAGGACGGATGAGTCATATTAAAAACTGATCAAATAAAGTCAGTCTTAATTGAATCAAACACTGATGTACTCTCTTTTTCAGCTCATATTACAGACAACCATTATCCCCATGCAATAAATCCACAATTGTTTTCAGACATCCGTGGTGCACAACATCCCACAAGGCTTCTGTAAAACAATGGTATTCAATTGTGGGAAAGATCACATTTCCTCAGCACTGAAAACAGAAATATTTTGTGGCTGGGACAATGGGATTATCTTGCCACCCCCACAACCCCCATGAGTGTGTCCATTGTTACTGTCTGCATGCTGTAGGCTGTGGTCGCAGAATCCTACTGGCTAGTGCCAGTAACATTGCTAGTGGAGAGCAATTCCCGGGTAGTGAAGAACAGTTCTCCCAGCTATGCCTGAACCATTTTGTGGCCTTTTTAAAACATTAAAAAAACACTAGCTTAAATAAAGCTCTAACAAGAAGGATTCAATCTTCCCTTGAGGCAGGGTCAGCCAATGCGGTCCCCTCCCATATGATGTTGGACTACGACTCCCATCATCCCTGACCATTGGCCATGCTGATTGGGGCTGGTGTGAGCTGGAGATCAACAACGTTGGGAGGGCACCCCTGCCTTAGGGAATGTAGTATTCCCACTTTCCTCACTCTTGTGGAATTTCATGTGTGAAGAGAAACAACAAAATGCTGGCCACAAATATTATTGTATTGGTCCCTTACAAATGGGATGGTAAGATGCTGCCAGTTCTTCTTGCTATTATGTCACTGCCAGTGCCGATCTTAGGGCTTCTTTACTCCTAGTGGAGAAACACTACTCCACCTTCTCCTCACACACCAAAGTGCCAGGTCCTGTTGAAGCACATTTCCCAATGTATTATTGGTGGCACAGAGGAGCTCAACCACACAAGAAGATGCCTTATATGGATTCAGAGCACTGGCCCATCTGGCTCAATATTGTCTGCACTGACTGGCAGAGGCTCTCCAGCACTTCAGGCAGGGTTCTCTCTCAGCCATACCTGGAGATACCTGGGGTGTGTGTGTGTCAGACTAGGAACCTTCTGCATGCAAGACAAATGCTCTACCACTGAGCTATGGCCTACCCATTCCACAACAGAAAGGGACTGGTGATCTTGCTACACTCAAATCAACCAGGGCTCTAGACCAAGGCAGGCTTGCGGTAATTTGGCCGGACCGACTGATACCACTAAGGAAAGGCTTGATACAAGCAGGGACTTTGGAGGCAGGGGGCCACCACCTGCAAGACCTTTCCTCTCCTTCCAGCTCTCCAACCCCATCCATTGGAGCAGCTCTTCTTCTCCAGATGCCATTGGCCCAGCTCATTTCTCAACAGGCCCTCCTCGCCGGCTGCCAGTTTTTAACAGTGCAACGGTCCCAACAGTGAGGTATATGTAGATCCATTCATAATTTTTTCATAAACCCAGGCAAAGGAAGGAGGAAAGGGAAATGGAGGATGGCTTAGGGAAACTCAGAGGCACAGATGAGTTCCTGAGCAAGCTGTTCAGAGCACCGGGCTCTTTAGTGGCATCTTCACATTCCAGGTCCCTCTGGCCCCACCGCGGGCGACCAAATCCCAGACCATCTGGCTCAGCAGTTGTGCGGAGAGTCTTCACCTTCCTGCCTGGTGTCTCTTGACAGCGCCTTCCCCGTGGGGGTAGGAGGCGTGATAATAATGTCTGGGACTTTCAGGCGCTTGTCAGCCATGACAGGAATGTCCCCGCTGCCGCCACCGCCACCACCACCTCTGTTGACGTGTGTTTTAAAGCCTGAGGGAACAAGAGGGAGAGAAAGAGAGAGAGAGAGAATTTACCTTTCTCTCGGAGGTGGCAACCTCTGACGTTCATTGTTCCTCAGAGGAAGTTGGGCGTGTGTGTTTTATGTCACAGAGAGGAGTCGGCCCTTCTCAGATAGTGCGTGACTGTTGTATTTCGACAGGAACGCTATTCTGCAGAATGGGGCAGCCACACGAAAATCCCTGCTGCGAGTTAGTTGAAAGCGGGCTTCTGATATTGTGGGAACTTGCAAGAGAAACTCTCGCACAGGCAACTGTGATCTACTGGGTGTATATGGGATAGGCAGATTGGCAGTGCAAATTCCACAAACAGGGTGTTACATGCTGGAAGTAATTTGCCCCCACAGGCAGCTTAGCCACTGCATTTGCTACCAGCTGCAGCCTCTGGACCAACTCCAAGGGTAGCCCCACACAGAGCGCATTGCAGTAATCCAGCCATGAGGTTACCAATGCATGGGCAATTGTGGTCAAGCTATCCCATTCCAGGAATGACCATAGCTGTCTTACCAACTGAAAGAAGTAAGTAAGTGAATAATAAGCTTCCCGCACCTCTGTTAATTATCTGTTGGCTATGTGACATTGCCTTCCCACACTTTCCACTCCTTCAGTCTGGATTTCCTCATACGAGGGATACTCTTGAAAGGAGAAAATGTGGGAAGGCAGTGATTTAGAGAACGTCATACAGATAGTAGGCAATTAATGAAGAGACAGGAAGCGCTGACCCTACACATTAAAACAGTATGGCTGAGCCCCTGGTGGCAGGCCCTGATAAAGATTTTAGGAAACATTTACTTCCAAAGCTTGCACTTTCCAGCCATATAGGAACACACCCACTCCATACATTTAAACCACATTTAAAGACATATGGCCTCCCCACCGCAAAGAATCCTAGGAACTGTAGTTTGGTAAAGGTGCTAGGAGCTGCAGCTCTGAGAGGGGATATTTGGGTGGAAGCTGTGACTTTTAAAGTGGTATAAATGAGCTTTCAATGTATGGCATGGATCTGACTTTGCATGCAGAAGGTCCCAGGTTCAATCCCTGGTGTCTCCAGGGAGGGCTGGGGAAAGATTCTGCCTGAAACGCCCTCTGCCAGTCAGTGTAGACAGTACTGAGCAGGATGGACCAATGGTCTGACTCAGTATAAAGCAGCTTCCTGTGTTTCATATTAAGGCCAGCCCTGGTTATATGGTTGTTTAATTTTGTTTTTCAGGGCCAGATTAAGACCTTTGGAGGCCCTAAGCACTGGAAATATGATGGTGCCCCTTAAATGTAATCCAAAATAAAAACAATACCAAACTTTGAGTATTATTTGCTATGCTTGTATACACCTAAAATTTACGTGCATCCTGAAATGTACATGCATGTATGTCATGTGCAGCATGTGACAGGATCAGGTTCCCTTGCATTCTTTTGATCTACCTTGGTAGGACACCCCCTGGTTTAGGTGGGGGTAAGTAATGAAAGTAGAAGAGGAAAATGGGGGAAATAGTGTGGGGTGCAGTGTAAGGAAGTCTAACAAATATCTGATTGTTCTCCTGATGACTATTTCAAGGCTTGTTGAAATCAAAGGTAAGATTTTAAAAACCTCTTTTTTGCTTGTGCTCTATGAGCATATATTGAGTTTGCCTATTGAGTAATCCAGCAGTGACTGTCACCACAGCATGCATCGTTGGTGTGTCAGGTCAGATCTGCCCCTCTGCAGCTGTAGCTGCATGTGCTCTGCTCCTGAGGATGCTGACAGGTCTTCTGTTCCCTAATGCTTCAAGATTGATCACCTCCCTCACCCATCTAATGCTGGGCCATATGGTGAAAGCATGCTTCGATACACCAGGATTGCCGTCAACTGACACAGTGCCATCACCATGGTAAAGAAGATCCTGGGTTATATTTAGTTTGTTGTGCGGCGCTGAATACAAATGACGCTTCCGAAGAAGAAGCTGCCCTCCAAAGAAGAAGAAGAGAAGACTGATAAACTGGTGCGTTCCTTCCTTCTCAGACCCCCTCCCTATCAAATTGCCTACAACTAGCAAAGTTTGCAGCCAAAAATGTTGCAAGGGCGCCCTCTGGTGGGCATTGGAGAGACACATATGGGATGCACTCTGTAATCTGCCAGCAAAGCAGACATTCTTGACCATTTGTGCTCATGAGGGTATGGGGTGGTTATACATACACAATCCTGCTTTCAATGCCTGTGTATGATTTGGCTAAGTTTTATTTTATTTATTTAACAAGATTTATGTACAGATCGATTGTAGTAAAACCTCTGATTCACAAGGAACATTAATACTATCAATAAAAACAGTTAAAAAGAATTAAAAGCATTTAATAATAATTAAAAGTAAAAGTGGGTTGGTGTCAGGGGTTCAGGTCTGTGGGTTTCCTTAAGGCAGTCTTCCCTTTCACCAGATGCAGGAGTTCGTTCCTGCACAGGCCTACTTAGAAGACAGTCCCACAAGGTTCAGTATAGGACTTACTTAAAAGGTAAAGGGACCCCTGACCATTAGGTTCAGTTGTGACTGACTCTGGGGTTGCGGCGCTCATCTCGCTTTATTGGCCGAGGGAGCCGGTGTACAGCTTCTGGGTCATGTGGCCAGCATGACTAAGCTGCTTCTGGCGAACCAGAGCAGCGCACGGAAACGCCGTTTACCTTCCTGTCAGAGTGGTACCTATTTATGTACTTGCACTTTGACATGCTTTCGAACTGCTAGGTTGGCAGGAGCAGGGACCAAGCAGTGGCAGCTCACCCCGTCACAGGGATTTGAACCACCGACGTTCTGATCAGCAAGCCCTAGGCTCTGTGGTTTAACCCACAGCGCCACCCACGTCCCAGGACTTATTTATTCCCAAGCAAATGTGTCTAAAATTATGCATGGCATATAGAAAGCAGATTGGGGAAAGAACTCTCTCATAATACACTGGTACCTCGGGTTACATACGCTTCAGCTTACATATGTTTCAGGTTACAGACTCTGCTAAGCCGGAAATAGTACCTCGGGTTGAGAACTTTGCTTCAGGATGAGAACAGAAATCGTGCTCCGGCGGTGCGGCAGCAGCAGGAGGCCCCATTAGCTAAAGTGGTACCTCAGGTTAAGAACAGTTTCAGGTTAAGAACGGACCTCCGGAACGAATTAAGTACTTAACCCAAGGTACTACTGTACTAGAACTCTGGGCCAGCCAATAAAGCTGAATGCTGGAAGATTCAAGAGGGCTGAAAGAAAGCACTTATTCGCAGAGCAGCACATAGTTAAACTATGGAACTCACTTGCACAAGAAACTGTGATGGCCACCAACCTGAATGGCTGTAAAAGATGGAGGCAAAGCGTATCAGTAGCTACTAACTACAATGCCTTTGCTCTTCCTCCACTGTCTAAGTCAGGGTGCCCCTTGCTGTGAACTGCAGGTGGGGAAAGCGCAGTTGCCCTCATGTGCTGCTCACAGGCTTCCCAGAAGAGGCATCTGGTTGGCTACTGAGAACAGGATGCTGGACTAGATGGACCCTTCACCTGATCCAGCAGGGCTGTTAAGTTCTTATGTCCATTAACCACTCTCTACGCTGGCTGCCCATGGGAATGCCAACCAAGTAATGAATGGGATCTGCATGAAAGCAGTGGATGTGCTTTTTGCTCCAGCCCCATCCATCTCAATGGCGCTCATGCTAGGCTGCCTCTAGTCTGGCCAAAGCCTTCCTTCTCACCTCTCCTCCCTCCCTGCTCGCCATTCAACGGCATTTAGGTGAAACAGGCTCAGTAGGGCTTTGCATCCAAAGCCGCTCGACTCATCTGTTATTAATGATGATGGAACAGGCCTCGCTCTTTGGGAATCAATAAGGGCCTCTCGGCCCAGCTGCTGGATGGACCTGCATTAAGGGCTGCAGCTCATCACCAAGAGAGTTGCGATTTACAAATGCATTTCCAGATGGGAGTGCATTGCTATTCATAAAGGGCTTGGCCCCAGCCATGTGGAGCTCAGCGTCTTCTTCACAAGGCTGTGAGGCTGCTGTTTTGGGAGAAAGCACAGCCCCATCCGGAACAGGCTGGCATCCCTGAAACATCAGATCCCTTAGCCAACTTATCCTCTGGAGTAAGCTTCAGTTTGCTTGCCCTCGTCCAGTCCAAAATTGACAGCAGAGACCTGCTGAGAATATTAACTGGGTGTTGTTGTTTTTTCCAGGTTTGGATGATAGAAACAAGAGATTGAGGAAAGAGAAAGAAAACTGAGCAGTAGTGCAGTGGTCCAGAGCTGCAGGAGGTTGACGATCCATTACTATTTCTGCAGCAGGATACTAG